TTTTTTTGGAAATCTTTTATTTATTGATTTTTTTTGAATTTTTTTGTTGATTTTTTAAAAAAAAAACAACATGAAAAATACTGCTGAAATAGATCTAATTCTGATTTTAAAAAGAAAAAAAAATGTTGGCGGCCATATTGAAAAATAGGCCGACTGTCAGGGAAAATGTACTGAGCGGCCATTTTAAAAGAAAAGAAAAAAAAAAAGGGCCTCCTCCTTCCTATTTTTCGAAAAAAACAGGACGCTAAACTTTTTTGTATTTTTTATTTGGCCTAAAATGTTCACATCATAGAGTTCTATGCAAAGTCCTGTAATTTTACACGATCTCGGCAGTTTTTAATTGATGGCAGATGATAATGAAACGCAACTTACAATGTTGACATGCTAATTCCTCGAAGGAATTTGCAGTTTTTAGATCTAATTATTGTTTTCTCTAAAAAGAATGCGATTGTAGGAGTGCGCTGGTTTTGTTTGAATAAATCAATCTGCCAAAAGCTCTCATTGCCTACTGATATATAACTGACCTCGACTATTTATATAAACATTTGCATTGAAAACAAGTTTATTCGTCCATCAATGAAATCAAAGTCGTATACCACGGCACGGATATCAAGTTTTAGCCCTGAACGTAGTATAAATGAAGAAACTTTGATGACTGATTAATACTGTCACTTAACACTACTTCACAGGCTGATGCCAAACAGGCACACATAAATAGAAACGTCCCTGGTACTTACGACCTTTTTTTTTTTTTTCATGCTAATTGAAAGGACAGCGTTCTTTTAATCAAGAAATCAAATATTTTGAAATGATCATTTCTTTACACTAGGACACAAGGCACATAGATGTTTGGTATTTATTCCAGAGGTCTTGTATACAAATAAAGACGAGATGATTATAGACTCCTTCAATTTAAAGTCAGCCCTCTGCTTCTCTCCCTCTCCCCTCCCTTTCTTTGTCTACCGTGATTGCAAACTGCTACTGATCTACATAAGGACCTTCAGACCTTTATTCTTCGGAAATTTAATAGAACATTTTGAAGAAGAAAAAAATGCAAACATTTTTGGCACAATGTTTCAGTCTCCAAATAATGTCAATGACACGATTTTACTCAAAGATATATACAAAAATTATAATATTAGATTGATCTCAACAACCTTCGTTATATATTTGACTTGTAATGGATAAACAATTGAATGTATGCATTTTTTTTTTAAACCAGTAAATTCCTGGCAGGCAGTAGAGTTTTCTATACACAAATGTTTGTACCTAGTTTTAGAAACCATAACCTACACAACGACCACACGTACTCGTGCCATGGCCATGTTCTAAAGAAGGATATCACATTGAAGGAACTCAGTGATCAGCTTGTCAATCAATGATTACGATGTAGGTTGGTAATATGATTTAACCGTTGACATCATTCAATCCCTATTAGAATAGGAAGGCGTGGCTTCCTCGTAATTGAACGTTTCTCGCTCAACCTTAAACGTGTTTTCGCTGTGGGAAAAGCTAAATGAAGGGTGCGTAACGCCGGGGAGCAGCCAACAAAAATATCGGAGAAAGTCCCCGTATGCTGAGGTGCCCCGGGCGTTGGAAACAAACGTGATATATTTGGTTCGTCCTAACACGTATACAATACCTCGATGTTTTCAATCTGTAATCTTTCCGTTGAAATTAAATATAATGAAAATACACAGATAAGAAGTCAAGCCCGAAATCCAGGGAGCAGCACAGAAATGCTGCAGGAGAATCAGGAAATTAAACACCACAGATAAATCTGGATGAAATTAATAGTGCAATATTGAGGTTACAACATGGGGGAAGATAATTTCTTTCCATTCGATCAATATATTTTCATACCCCTTTCCCGCCTTTAGTCACGTTTAACTATCAAAATGAAGGGGTAGTTTATAGTAATCGTCTTGAATAAGTAGGTTTTTAGATCGAGATGCGAGATAAGATTTAAATTATCTAGTTACATTTTATTTTCAATAAAATGCACCATGGTCAATGGCTGTGCTTTCATCGTGGTGATGTTGCTTCGAGCAGTAAACATGGTAAATTATCCGAATCTTTTCACTGTTCATACTCGCTTTAAATGGCCCCTCTGTAAAAGCAGGAAAGATAAGAGCTAGATGTGAGATAAAACACTCGACAGCTGTAACAAGACTTGGCGAAATCGGGGCATCTAATCTTCTTTCTTCATGAGCAAAGTAATTTGTAAATATAGTTGTTCGCAATTGCACATGCAAACACGCACGTACACACACTTATACAACCATTTTTTTTCTAAATAATTATTTTCTTTTTTATTATTCGAATACATCTCGTACAAATCATTCTTTACCAAACTGGATACATCGTACATTGATATTTTGGATTAAACATAAATTGCAATAATAAAAATAAAAAACACACACACCTATATACTGCACACCCACACACACTCACCATCACGCACAAACGCACTTACACTCGCGCACATTATATATCACTTATGATACCCTATTTTCCCCCAACGATGGAGACAAAGAGTGAGCAATTCTAGATAAAAAAATGTTTTATTTAGTGCATACTGCATTTAATTTTTGAAAAATTAATCGAAACTTGAAATCCATGGAAAAAAATATGCAATCCATATTTCTATCACGAACTAAACAAACATTCATTATAAATAAATGAATGCTCTTGAGTATAAAGTTGACCTTCATGACCGGCTTTGGAACAAATCTTTGACGATGTGAGATATTTCTAGTGACAGGTGCCGGCAACGAAATCTACCGATTATATGAGTAATTTTACCATATCGAGAGGGGGGAGGGGGGGGGGGGGGGGGGGTAATACAAGGGGAATATTTTCTGATTCATATTAAACCCGCAATCTGGAGTCTGATCAAAGCTCTAAACACGAAGGAGCTGTATTTGATTACCGTCGGATCTCTGTAAATTCTTTGCTTTACAGCTATCTGATGAACCTAAAGTGAGTAATATCACTTACCTTTATATACGACTAAATGATATCAAAAGACAATTTTTTATCATTTTTAGCGCGTCAAAACATGACGTCATTTTTATAGGCTGAAATTCTCCCGCGGTTCATTCAACTTTTATTTTTATTTCATCTCCCGTTCTGATCTCTCTTCCGTTACTGATTGATGCTTACTTTTTTACATGGCAGCAATGGCAGGATATGTCCTAGCCCAGGTTTTCACGAGAGTTCTTTCAAAGGTTATCCTGTGGTTGTGTGAAAAACTTGAACAAATCATTTGTTAATTCGTCCTGACATGGAGGATGAGGTACCCTCCAAACTAGTACGATATCAGTCTAACCTTATCTGTTCACAGATTTTTTAGAAAAATCTGCCAATAATTACCCGCACGAGGACACCAACATAACAATTACTTTTGATTAGTATAGGAAAGGGCACAGTAAAATGATTCTGACACACTTTCATTGATATCATTATCGTAATATTAAATTAAAAAAATTATTTCACGACATTAAATTAATGCAATTTTTAAGCTAGTTATATATGTTAACTTGCCATACAATATTAATCCAATTTGCTTGTAACCACACGTAGAAAAATGAGGCAGTGAGTCTTTACAAAACGAAATATAATTGGAGCAGTGTCAGAGAATAGTTCATAACATAAAATGATTATGACCTGGTAGCAAAGTCCCTGGTTTTCACCTGTTCATATCATCATTGGCATTAGACCAACATTCGCTAGATATGCTGTTGTCATGGTTCTGATAGGTATCTCACGGGTTTAACGTCGGGAAGGGATTAAAACTTCGAGGTATTCCACCTGTTATCTGTCTCGATTAATACATAATGAACAGGTGTACTAATTGATCCACAAGAGTGGTCTCATGCAGACCACGCATATTGGCCATTTATAGCAATAGAATAAAACAGTGAAACCGCTTGATGATGATGCGATGATGGGTACGGGAGTGATTAATGTCGAGAAACATACGTAATTCCCAAGTGCCCGTTACACACACGATATATCATCATTGCGATTGTGTTACTGCATGCGCTAATAAAACATATCAAAGCAATTTGTTGATACGCCAATGATTCAATGCACTGCTTGCTCTGTTTATTGTACAAACGTTTTTTTTTCTTCTGCGATGTCATCGTCACATCGGCGTCATTGTGACTGCGTCAGTCTGTGACGCAGGCCTACGTTAGGCAAAACGACGTCTCATGTTCAAAGGACATTAACAAATCATTAGGAACTTTTAGATTTGCACGACGAGAACGTGGACTGTGACGTGTGACATCCCTTTATAAAGGCAATGTGACGTCCTTTGAAGGCACTGGCAGTGACGTCACATTGCCTTAAAAGGTTTTCACACGAGCAGTCCACGTTCTCGTCGTGCAAATCTAAAAGTCCCTAATATCTAAGAAAGAATCTGCGTCGTATGTGTTTACCTTGTTCAAAAATTGTGTTACAATTTTGGCAAGGGCTTTTATTTGCTTGATTTGTTTGTTTGTTTGTATTTCGTTCTTTATATACTCCTTTCCTCTTTGAGTGCATTGAAACGTTCATTTAAATTAACATGAAATAAGGTTTGCCAGAAAAGCGTCAGGTTATAATTCAAGGATAATTTTCATCGCCGACCTGCTTAATCTAATTGCTTATCTAGATTTCCTTGCGATTTAAAATATCCATGCCCCCTTTTTTTATATCAGAATATGCATCAAGATTTTTCAGCATGTTATAATGTTTTGTAATGTATAAGATATGTGATTTAAATACTACTACGATGATGATAAATAACATTTACATATTTCGTAGAATTTTCCCAGATAGGTCTAACACCACAAAAAATGATTTTAACAAGAGCAATCTATGCATCTTTTTGTCGAGCGTATGTTGTATAATGATTGAAATAACTAAATTCATGGATTTTGTTAATGTCCAGCATATCATCAATAAATGTTTGTTTTAAAATCCAAATTTTTTTTTTTTTTTTATCTTTGCAGTGTCACCAATGTGCAAAGAATACCAATGAGTGGTATACAGACCAAGAAGTTTCGATACATGACAAAGTGCAGTGTGTTTGGTGTAGCGATGTGCAGTAGATACAGGTTTGTCCCTAACGTGGTCATTGATATCACTTTGTAAAGTTGAGCTAACTTAGGTGTAAAGTTTTATTATCTGCCTTTCATGAAGCAATTAACAAACACATCATTAATTTTTGTAGAGTGCACACGTGCTTATTTCTTCTCTGAATGGAATTGGGAAGTTTCATACAGAGGAATAATGGAACGATCAGGTGTTCAAATTAGCACTGAATAAAACCAGTACCAGTAATAATTTTATGAAATCTAATAAAATACAAGTTATACTTTTGTTTACATCTCTCACTTCCCGTCACCTTTTCTTTTCTTTCTTTCCTTCCTCTGTCGATGTGTCTCTTTATTGTTTTATTCGTAACACATATTATAATCTTCTTCATTTCGGACTTCATCTTAAATTTTGATTCGTTTTGTTACCTCAATAGGCTTGTATACGTGAATGCCTTTCGTGAGCTGATATCGACTCAATACGCTGTGCGACCTGGGTGTTGTAAAGGTTACCTCCAAGACGGTACTTTGTGTGTAGAGGCGCCACCAACGACAAGTAAGTTCTCATCTACTTTTAGCAGTATTTCAAGATTTTTTTTTTCTACAGCAAACAAAACAACACTGAACAAGGCAATCTTGAATGAGTGAATTTTTATGCTGAACAGGGCCAGAAATCAGAATTAATATGAATCCGATGTAAACATTGTTTATAATGCATCTTCAGGTCGAATAGGTGAAAATTGTCATACAAAGATCCTAACGCCCCTGTATGTTGGGTAAAATCATAAAAATTGTACTTTCCCAATGCAGACAAAATGACCGAAGGTTCTGTGATATTTCCTTGAGGTCGCAGGCGGAAGTTGAAATATAATTGTTCGAGGGAAGGTATTAATTTGGAGATGAATACTGTGATGATATGTTTGAAAATACCCCTTCCCCCAACAAAAAAAACATCACAAACAAATGAAAAAGAGACTTTCATATAGCCTGCATTTTATTTGACCTAACTCATCAAAAGCATGGCAGATCCCGTTTGCCCTGACCATGTGCTAAAGAGATGTGAATCAGTTCCGGATCATGTGTGTGACATGTACGCGATCTCGATTGCACGTCAAACTATTCGCTAACCTCCTCTGGGGAAACATACAAACTATAATAAACGACTTACGTCTGTTTCATGAGGGTATGTGCAAATCAGCCACGTGGGACCAGAGAGGAAGGGAAGGTGGTACGATGATAGAATAGTTGAAGAGTGAGAACACGTCGTAGCTGTAGTCAATAATGCCTCTGGTCTCATCTTAAGTCCATGGGTGATTCAGTTTCCTCTGACTCGGTTGTGAACTGTGAATGGTAGTTCCGCATCTCTCATCCCCCCTTTATCTTGGAGCGAAATATGGAAACACGAACCCCCGTCTCGAGAATAGAATGGGACCTCTCCATGCTTCCATTCATGAGAATTAAAACCTGAAAAAAATAAATCATTGTGCGACATAGTTGCACAGTTGCCAGTTGCCTTTACTCATGGCAGTAGTCTAACAAGATCAACGTTCGTGTGCAAGTCAAACCGATGACAGTATACGTGCTATAGAATTATAGTTCATTCTTTCAAGCTTGTTGAATCATATTTAAAAGAAACAATATTGAGGGGCTTTGTAAAGCTTGAAAAAAGTGACAAGAGAATTAAAAAAAGGGCAAGCTACCAGCGGAATACAACAATTGTTATTGTTTTAAAGGGTATATTCCGAAATTCGTTAATAATTCTCCGGGACAATCCTACAAACATTTATTCAAATCTAAAGAGGATTAACAAAAAAACAGGTATATCGACTAGGCATTGTTTGCAAACAAATATCGATGACATAAATCTACAATCAAATGAACAATAGCAGTAGGGGTTATCAAATTATTAAAATAATTACACTGACGAAGTAATCGTTTTCTTTAGGATTGCGTGGCCCTCGTAAAGCTGAACTTCTCTTGTCATTATCCTCATGCGCGCCACTTTCGTCATGATTCAACCCCTTGTCATCGGCTAAATAATTTTATAATGTACTTTATCTTCATGATCTCACGTAGATAAGTTATCTTCTGATGAATCAAAATGTGATAGTTTTCACACATGCTGGATCATATAGCTTTATAGAGGGGGCAGGCATAATTCTTTCAGCGTCTAGTTAGGAATACGTGACATCGACAACAGGTTTTTCGATAGGGAATGACTGCAGACCTGGTTGATCAGGGATCATCAAAAGGTTCACGTGGATCATTACACAACAAGTGATTCATCAACCAATTGTACAATTTTTCCCTATTTAGTTATATATTCATCGAAAGGTGTAAATAAAAGTAATGTACGTATGGAATGCACAAGAACTAAAAAGAGTCGAAGAGGGTCAAAGACATTTTCCATAATCGGCCCTTTCTTTATCCCTAAGAGTTAGGACGAGCATTTCGTCAAATTTTGAAGAACAGGGGAAACTACTTCATGTTTCATTTTTGCTTCATGATGCAAAAGAACATACCCCATCGCTCAACTAACTCGTGAATCAGCTCTAACTTCTGTAGTAAAATTGTTGTTAATGGAGTCACGATCATCTGCGGTTTCCTCTGGGTTAATTTACTCCACGGGTTGCTGCTTTAGATAGATGATCTGTATTTCTTCTGGTGACTATACTGGTGGGAATATCAGTACTAATATGAAAGGATCTTTATCTAATTCCATCAGTGTTTGGGTCTTGAATTGTACCAGAGTTCCGTGTTACCAGACGACGTCAATGTACTTTTGCTTCTCTAACACGCTTATGGCGGCTCCATTCTAATACTGTTTTACATCTTTGTGTACCCCCCCCCCCCTCTCTCTATAAAAGGTCCCCCTCGGACATCTACAAGGAACCCTTCTACAGTCAAGACCGAAACGGTGAGGGCGCCCTTTGGCGGCGTGGCTCCAAGAGGATCATCGGGTGGCTACCCTATCAAGGACGGATCAGGAGCCTCCAAGGGCCAGTCTGGTCATCAGGATGAGGTGCTCATTGATCAGGAAGGGGGCTACTTCGAAGTGAATCCTGATTACAAGGGACCTGCGGTGGACCGAGTATTGCCTTTGATTGCGTCTGGTGTTGCAGGGGTCATTACACTGACCGCTGTGGTAGCGTTCGTGCTGATAGTCATTAACAGAAGGAGAAGGAGGAGAAACAAAGTCCAACCGGGGTAAGAGTTCATTCATGGGCACCCATAGTGTCATTTATGTTGTTATCAAATGGCCTTATATGGGTCATGTGGGAGCATTATGTTTGGTTGACCCGATTGCTACTGAATTCTCTCGTTGATCTGGGTTTAATACAGGGACCGCCCGGTTCCCTGCATACATCATATTAGAACATTACAATATCATCGGTTATAGATAGATATACGTGAAAATGAAGGGGAAAAAATTGCAGATTAAAATACGCAAACCCAACCAAAACGTTTACTTACGGGATGTAAAAATAACTTCCTATGAATGGTCTATAATATAGAAATAATTACCCCTTTCTCATATTGGTCCGGCATAATTTGTCTGGCACTGATCACATATTATTTTCAGACTAAGACAGATGCTTAGATAATTACAGAGTAGGGATTTATTTGTAATTTGCAAGAAACAATATCATTATAAAAACAGGTGTGGATTAGAATCAGATGACGAGATTAAGCAAAAAGTGATGCTTTTATTATCTGATATATTCTTAGATCTGCAAGCATGATTTTCTTTTATTTACACATGTATATAAATTATTAACATATGTCAATGACATCATCGCACAATTGTAGTTGCAAAACACTGATGTAATAATGGGAACAATCATGACGCATTTGGAATATTGTTAATTTAATCAGATTCGTTATTTAGTTCTTTATTTCAAGAAGTAACTAATTTAGACTAAACAGGCTAATTATGAACATGGACCCGATGTTGTCTGCTGAAATAACTATAAGGAATTTCTGGTCAATGGATTAATCAATAGTCCATTATTTGTTTGGATATGTACACCTTCGAGATAAATGTGATTAGAAAAACCAGACATGACGGATTTGACACCAAATGAGTGCGTTCACGGCCCTTATGTATATGCTTCCTCCAAGAAGAAGAATCCCTCTTCAAGATAGGAGGGGCGGATGGAGGGCGGGGGGCAATGCAGGTCTATACCCCATAGGATATTTAGCTGAATCTGGTAATAGGGAGATGAAAATCGACGCCCCTTGCTTCAGCCCTTATTTACTCGGTCCCACAAAATTAACAAAATCCACCTTCCATTGTCATGCTTGTTGCCAGCGTTATTGACTCCTCCAAAAATGATAATGATCCTCCTCAATTATACTGACAACCTCTTCCTCCCTTCTGCCACCCCCTCCTGTATTAAAAACCACCTATCTATTTCTACAATTTGCATTGTCTCCGCAACTATTCAAACGACATGAGCCCCATAAAATGATCGACACTAATCTATGATGTCTACAGTTTCAAAAAAACTTGGCTACACAAGTACGACTAATCGATAACACCTGCTTTCAGGAGTACGTGTGTGTCTATACAAGTACTGTATTACTCATTGAAAGTCAAACCCCAGAGAGAACGTTCCAAGTCTTTGTTGATTTTGTTAATATCAAAATAGGGATGATGTGAGGGGAAATAGATTGATAATGTGGCTAGACTCTAATGTAAGATTTGTCGAATGGTTTTGAGGCCCAAGTTAAGCGGAGGAATCTTGATGCCGATTTTCTTTCATCGACATGGGTATCAATAAGGTGCTCTTTGGTTTTTGTTTTCTTTCTTTTAAATACGTGGGTTATGTCATATACTTTCTTCCCAATAATATTGACTTGAGTAATCACGTTATCCTTCATTTTTCCTGAATGTTTCCTTATCAATTTTGATTCGTGCAGATTTCATGACTCTGTTCGGTTCCGCACTAACAACCAGCCGAAGGGCACGACTAAGCTCGAGATGAAACGAATGTCAACGGAGAAATCCTCAGCACATGCCCTGGCGCTTGCTGCTACCATGACGAATACAAAGGCATCCAAGAAATTCAAGAGATTGTCTCGAAAAGGTAAATAGCAATTGTCTTAATCTTGTCATCGTGAAAAGAACACAATTGGTAACTGATTAACGGTTTGGTTAAAAAAAAAATTGTCATTGCAATCCTCGTCGCAGAACGGCGTAGAAATGTTCACATCATGAGATGGCGCTCTTCAGTTAATTCAAACATAACCAATGAAGCCACTAGTTACATTTAATTTTTTTTATATACCTTTTTTCCTTTTTCTGAAAATATAAGAGGAAATGTGTTGAATATGTTAAAATCTGCAACATATTTTTGCTGCCGACAGTATGTGAACAAAGCGTACAGGAGGCAGAACTACAATAACATGAAGCTAAATTGTACTGCTTTATTCATGATAATAAAATAAAAATATCATTATATACTTGCACAAACATATCTTTCATATAACTTGCAATATCACTGGCTTTCTCTATTCGAAGTCATGACCAGCGTCATGGCCACTACCATCAATTTAACATAATAAACATGTAATACCATTTAACATGTCAAAACAGTCCAGATGTAAAAATTGCGCAGGCATTTTGGGGTAGCTGAATAGTAAAGCTTGACTTCTGACTATTTGAACACTTTATTCTTCCTTTCTCGTTTAGATGGACCATACGTGGAAATATCAGATATTCCTGGGACAACTTTTGTCAGAGTCACCTCACAGACTGAACAAACGTTACGAGAAGACCTACAGAACAACCAAGTACATGCTGCAATCATTAACAATAGGAGAAGCTTGAATGAATCCCAAAGAAAACAAAGAAGTCCTGTGAAGCGTGGTGGCTCTATGAAGATTGTCCCTCAATACGCCGTGGTCAACAAGCTCAGAAAACCTGACAACGACTGTGAAGAGCTGTTAGCCAACAACAAGAAACAGAAGAATAATAATGACCTTGAGGAGAACCTCCACGGAGCATACCATGCATTTACCCTTGAGCATCAAGATACAGGCGATTTAGCACCGCTCTACGCGGATCCCAATCAGAAGCCACAGAACAAGTCGAGTACGTGGGCTTGTCGGGTGGGCTCAAGTCTCAAGGACAGTCCTGTTAAAGGTGCTGGTACACTCACACCAGGGAACGTCCTAGCTCTGGTCAAGCAGAGCAACCTGAGAGAAACCTCAAAACTCTTCACGAGCTGCGGCGGTGGTGTCGGGAGCCGTCGCCTATCATCAGGGTACAGCAACAAAGATGATGATTCGGAAAACTCGAGCGGGTACAGCTCACTCCGACATAGCACCGAGGGAGAACCAGACAACATGTATGGGAAGCTAAACCACGCTACCAGCGTGAAACCAACGAGTCCTACAGACACCAAGAGTCAGACAGCCTCGTTAGAAGCATCAGACGACAACGACTACGATAAACTTAGACGAGGGCCCAAGTCAAGAACACTGGGGATGAAGTGGGCTACCTCGGGACACTACGAGACTTTAGGCGTCGACGAAAGCTGATGTTCACGTTCATAAAGCTTTTCTAAAGGACAAAAAGAGAGAAAAGAAGAAAGGAAAGACTTGGTCCTAGGACTGTGTCGTTGTCAGATTAAAATCACTAGCCAGAGGAAGCGGAAGCAATGACACAATGTGTGGACTAACTTTACGTACTTTGTTGGAATGCGGTGTGAATCATATACAAACTGATATGAGGAGAAGCAGGCGCGTACGCAGGGGGGGGGGGGGGGGTTTGGGGGTTAAACCCCCCCCTTTGGAAATTTTTTGTGTGTAAACCCCCCTAAAAAAACCCTAAAACCCCCCCCTTTTGGATTTTTTTTTTTTTTTTTTTTTTTTTTTTTTTAATTATTAAAAAAAAAAAAAAAAAAAATTATTCCCATGGCCGACCTAAAAAAGGTGACCTTACCCCCCCCAACGGAGCAAATGTCAAATTTCCAGATTTCGAAACCAAAAAAAAAAAAAAAAGTGTCCTCTTACCCCCCCCCCCCCCCCCCCCCCCCCCCCCCCCCCCCCCCCCCCCCCCCCGCTTATTCAGCGGTCGGCTGAGTCGTTGCGATTTTTTTGGGACCAAAAAAAAAAAAAATGTGTCCTCTTACTGCGTACGCGTACGCGCCTGAGGAGAAGTGCCGGTTGGTAATCACTACTAACTTAAATGTGACAATGATTCGATGTGATTATACATTTGGTGATTTTTCTTTCAACTGATTGTTATGATGACGTAAATCACATGCTTCATGTGATTTATATTGATTGTAAATCAATACCGTATTTCTTCAGAATCATTCAAAATAGAGCACCCATGACCATGATGATGCAGATTGAAAACGGACTGTGTTATGATGACATAGATCCATAGGTTAACCATCAACAAAATGACTTGGTGATTTGATAGGTTTCATTGAGCTACTGTACCTTAGCTATTCTTGCAAACACTTTCTACTTAACTTTCGACAGTGGCGTACCAAGAAATTGTGCCAAAAGTGGTGTGTGTGGGGGGGGGGGTAGATTTTCGCCTGTTCACCTTTGCTGGATACGCCACTGACCTATCATAGTCTCCAATGTGTCGACATGATGTGGGTTTTGAAACATAATTTATTTAATTTTAAGTTGTCTGTAAGGAATGTTATCATAATATGGGAAAGAATTTCAATTCTCATGATAATTCTAGTAAAGCGAGTCTTTATTTTGAGATTGATGGTCAAGTTAACCTCGTTTATGACCTGATCGTCGATTCATATACCTTTTTTCAAAGATACAAAAGTGATTGAAATGTTGTGATTTGTGCTTTTATAAGAATCAAGAGAAATGTATATAGAAAGATTATAAATTTTGTACTGTTTACATGTAAATACTGCTGTAAGAACGTATCTATACAGTCTAACGTATTCAGTTTATATTATTCATTTACAATGGCAACAGCCTTAAAGTTTGAAGTAAAATTATCGGATTGCGTTATTGGGTTTATCTTTTTTTGTTTTATCGATCCTTTTTATGAAGAGAAAAAAAGGTTATAGTTTGCTGTAGGTAACCGGGCTTTATCGATTAGGATATGAAGTATGATATGCTTCGGAAGTCCAACATACAATATCTCTTCCAAAAATGAAAAGTGAAAGTTCATATCACAAACACCAACGTATTGTGATATTGTACTCTATAAATTGATTGGTAAATTCCATCCAGTGCTATTGGAAGATACCCTTCCGATCTGGATATTTTAAACAATGGCCAAGTAATAGTCTACATCAAATGTGGTCAAGGTCCTCAATTTAATTGCCTTATTTGACCCATTGTTCCGATCGAATTCCTGGTCACATGAACGTAATTCGTTAGTCGCTATTCTGAACAGCATGTAGCTACATATGGTACAAGTTGGTATTAATATGATAATGACCCTTATCGGATCCTACACTAATTTTATAATGTAGCCTAGGCAGCTTATACACTGCTTAGATATACATCCTATTTGATTGAATCAAGTTTTGAACATAACTTGACATTAAATTCACTTCATATTCTTTTTGTAGTCTAATCTAAGCATATGGCTACAATCTTTCAAGATGTATGTGGAGTGGACTAACCGTTCCCTATCCGATTACATAAAACGATATCATTTTTGTTATCGGATTCTGCTCGTATCGTCATGTGAAGATGTGACCAAACGCTGAGTAATCTCAACTGCCAGGCGTTTTCTAATGTTATCTAATCGGCACACTTCCATATAATGCATGGAGCACATCAACCAGGCTTGACAAGAAATTGCACACATTTATTGAGAGACTAAAGTTGTTTCTATTTCACTCTTAGCAACAACAAAAACTATAAAGACTGCTAATTTTAATCAGATAGGGAAGCTCTGGATCTGAATGTGGCATGGCGATGTACCGTTACCATAGCAGATGATTAATTTATCATCGAAACTCGAAACTCAAAGGTATTCAAATTAGTTTTACTCAATCAGAATATTTGGCTCACCAACATTACGACCTCTTGTATTAATCATAGTTCTTTAATCAATATATTATCGAGCGCTAACACTAATGCCAAATATTTTAAAAGTGAGAATTGCGTAGTACACACAACAGGATGTATTCAATTTTACGTGTTTCTTTAGAAACAAGACTGATGACGACGAAGCTCTTTCATAACATTTATATTTTAAACTTTATCATTTACGTTATTCTAACTAATAGTTTATTTGTAGCTTTACCCATAGATCTATTCTTATATGCTTTGATGATTGTACAAATGCCATATTATGTATATTATTCGCTTCGAATGTTGTAATTATTTTATATGAAATAAACATATTAATACATCTGATTATAACTGTTTTATTGCTATTCTTTTCTCATTTTATTTGCCCTATTATTTGTTTACTCTTCGCAGTAGGTATTGGGTTCAGGCGCGTACGCAGGGGGGGGGGGGGGGGGTGGGGGTTAACCCCCCTTGAGTTTTTGTATGTGTATGTTTTGTGTATGTTATTTTGTAACCCCCCCCCCTTTTGAGTGTTTGTTTTTTGTTTTTTTAATCAAAATTTCAAATTTCGGGACCCCCCCCCCCAAAAAAAAAAAAAAATGTCCTCTTACCCCCCCCCCCCCCGCGAATTTGGAGCATTTAAAGCATAAGGCTCATTGACCACTGGCCTGCTTATGGGCGGGGAGGGGCTCTGCCCCCCCCCCCCCCCCCAAAAAAAAAAAAAGTTCAACGACAACAACAATAACAAGGGGGAAGGAAGAAAGAGAGAAAGATAGTGAAAAAAAAAAGAGTAAAGAAATATAAGGCATCCTATTTGTTTACTAGTGCCACTTTCTTTCAGAAAAATTCAATTTGTTCCATCCCATATAAAATCATAAATATCTTTAAGCCAGCGAGGTATACGCTTTAAAGTGCCTGTTATATTTTTTTTTTTGGTGGTCCATGATCTTCCTACACTAATAGGGTACCATAAAACTACATTTTTATTATTTCAAGCCATCTATCAAAACACCTAAATGACTGAATTTTGGGGAACTTCCCTCTCATATTATATCTTTCGAATGTGAGGAATATAGGACAAGGAAATGAAAGCTCATACTTGAATCAAAAAAAGATTACACGACAGATATTTCATTTAGTGGAGTAAAGCACACGTCATTATCAACAAGAAATGAAACAAGGACAATGACATTACTTCCGTTTCGCGACTCACCACTAACGGGCTCTATTCTCGTTCTTTAATATTACGATTTATTAAAGTGAAAGGAATAAAAATCACGCGACATTATTAGTTTTGTTTTGTCATTTTGGTTTATGGGAGGTAAGGTTATAAGAATAAAACGTTATTCTAGTGATGTGAAAAGAAATATTCTTCTTGGTAGAATGCTATAAAGGATTTCCGAATCAATTTATCATCTTTTAATGGAACCTGTCTCTCTTGCAATGTCTAATCACGCCTGATTCCCCCGCCGTTTCGCTGTCTCTTCTAACACCTCCCCCCCCCCCCCTTAGTGTTATTTAGGGTACGCGTATGCGTGCTCCCAGCACCCCCCTTTTTATAGCATAAGTCCGGTGTGTAAAGTCAATACGGGTAGATCTTTTTCTTTTGTTATACGAGCCTTTTCAGCACTCCCCCCTTCAGCATAAGTCCGGTGTGTAAAGTCAATACGGGTAGATCTTTTTCTTTGTTACGAGCTGGAGATTTTGGGAACACGCATGCGGGGCCGGGCTTCTAACATGTCTAAAATTGTTTCGGTTCCTTGACTCTCTGCCTCTATTGTGTCTACGCGTCATTCGTTTTCCTCTGTCCATCTTTTAGTCTTTCATGCTTAGTCTACCATTCACCTTTCTCGTGTTCTTCCAGTCATAAATCGTGTGTAAGTTGAATGTTATACCAAAGCAATCATGTCATCAGGCTCCTGAGCGACCATTAGCATTGATAACAGGTTAACGTTGAATATGTACGTCACTTTAATTTGAAACTTTTATACCCACTTATTACAAATTGGAGTATGGCGTAAACAGCGGTTCGGTTAAAACATTTCGTTATTCTTTGTAAACCATGACAGTAACCCATGATTGTAACCCACACCGGAAGCACCTTCCAATGACCAATATATAGATGAGTATGGATGGCGTTCGGTGCCATAAATGTTTCGTGGATTAAGATAGATAGGTCTATCAAAGGGTCGATATAGTAAGAAAAAATATTGACCCTAAATTTTACATTAACGTTATTTGTTTAACCAATCAGCGGTCTGTCGGGTTGCGTTTCTTCGACAATTTTTGTTCCGCGCCAATTTCCAACACTAACCGTATTCTTAACTACATTCAACCCTGGACCCAACCTTATACCTATGAAGCCCGGAGCATTTGTGACATGATCCAAGCTCGGTTAACCGCCCGTGATCTCTATATTTATTCAGATGTTCTGTTTGTCTGGATGGATAGATTGGCCGCTAATTCTCGTGATCTGATTAGTCAGCAAAAGAGAGTCGAAGGAAAATTTGATTTTTTTTTTTTTTTTTTTTTTCCTTCCATCGAACTTTTACCATCAGACATTTCAAAGATCAATAAAGCATTTGTGGCACCAAGCGCCTGCCATAGATGCATGTGTCGGCCATGTAGGAGGAAGCGGGAAGTCGAACAGGATACTTCACCAAAATACTCCAACTTTACAAATTCCCATGAACAAGGCTGTACGTTTATCAAATACATCATGTACTTCATCCGCATTGGATGCAAAAACTTCGCTAAGTTAAAACACAATTTGATTCGCACGTCTTTATCTATTCCTGCAAATTCGTTCTAAAATTTGAAATTCGTCGCGGTACAATTACTATTGGCTGTGTGGAATTCACGCAATTGGGTAAGTATTTACTGTTGTATTTCTATTCTAGATAGAAAAGCTATATTTTGTAACACTGGAAGTACCAACAGGGCTTGAAATCATTTTTGTCCGTTGTTTTCCAATGACAATCGATATAGATTGGCATTTAACTGCCTGAATTGAGATTCGGTGGCTCGGCCTGAGTTTTACTTTGAGAACTTATCGGGAAACCAACATGGCAAAATTAGTCAAGTTTCATTGTCAGCCCGATAGGGTAACCAATTCAGTTGTTGTTTTGTGCCTTGTCCTGGATTAAGGAGCGCAGTGGTTGTGGGAAAGGAGGTTCATATATTTCAAAGGCTTTTTTTTTGTTTAGGTATGTGAGAAGTAGAATGAGGAAAACTACACAACGAATGTCAATGTGGTTATTCATTGTAATCTAATCTGGTGTTAGATGTAACGTCAAGAGGTTTGACATTTTGAAAAGACTGTCCATTAAGATTATCATGATCATTTAAAAATACTAGGATAGCGAAGTTTGTAGTAGATAAACACGACAGAGGCGAAGCAAACTTTGTTTAGCCTTTTATCGACCAGCTCTTACAGCGATTGCGTTACCCCCAACAAGTGATAGTGATATTAAGTTTATTGGATCGATGAGCTGGAGTGTTGGTGTGTGTGTGGGGTGGGGTGGAAGGCGGATCCCTGATACACTCCCAACAACCTTAAAGGGATAGTTGAGTTCTTGTTTGAGATCGCAAATGTCTTCAAAGTGCATGGTTATTATTTTCATTTATGACATTTCTAGTGCCCTTTTAGAACCTAAAATTGCTATGAAGGTAATTTTATACCCCAAAATGTGTGAAATTTAGATCAAATATGATCATACCAATTCAGCTCCTCTTATGATTTTAAAAACTAACTTTATATTCATTATTGCAAAGTTGAAACTTTGATTCGACAAGGTTATCAAAATTCAATGCTTGGAAACATTCGAAGTAATGATTATTATAAATTACAAAACGCTTAAATACAGCCCCGGCATAGCACCTGGAGAGCTCTCCGAACGCTGCTGAGATGTGTGAGATCACAGTATGGACATGACTTGCACAAGCAGACGATGCCCCATGACATCTCACACATTTTCGGTGCCTGCGTTTTCATCTTCTCTTGAGTTCTTTCTCTTACTTCACTACCGGCAGGCTAAATGTATAATCTATTGCCTCACTCTAAACCCCACGCATGATTTTATTTTGATGACAAATGCAGCGATACAAAAATAAAGGAATCTGTCGCTTGTAAACAAAATAAAACGCCATTGTATATTCAACGGCACACACCGGGGTATGTTCGGTGTTTCAAGAGGGAACAAATGCAGTCCTTAATATCATTCCTTGTTATATCATTACATGTACTTATTATAGTATCATTATATATATATATATATATTGGACTCCATGGAAGAATAGAGCCATTAGGTTAATGGCTCTGAAATGGACTATCCAACCGTTTTATCATTCTATCATTGTTATATAAGTCTTTGATTTTGTTATATTGTGTTATTGTTTTTTATGATGATTTTCGGAAATAAAACAAACAAACAATCCCGGGTTTTTTGTCAATTTGCCAAAGCCTGGTTTCTTTGATTGGTAATTAACCCCTATCCTGTGTATGTACAAGCAAAAGATTTTAGTTATCAGAATCGGGTCATTTCCCCTTTTGAATGGTTTGAAATGCCATTACATTTATATACACTAAACTCATTATAATTTGAGAAATAATAGCTTTGCAATTATGTTCATTCTCTATGGGATGTCGTCTGCTTGGGCAGTGTTGATCCATATAGTGAAGTTATTAAAACATCGTTATTTCTCCTGCGAATCTCTCGTATATCCCAGCTGTTTGGAGGTGGTTGTATTTGTATTTTTATAAATCACCCGATATGTAGTTGACCTATAACTTATACGTTGGCAATCTGTTAGCTTACCAGTTTCAAGTGATACAATAGTTGACATATTTGTGATTTTCTTTGAATTTCACCTTTTTAAAAAAATAACGGTGACCGTTAATTAATTAATTATTCACTAAAAACAATACACGGGCCGGCTGGTTGTGCGTATTATTACCAAAACGAAAAAGCCAACAAAAAGCCAAGAATGGCAATGGCTTAAAATAAAACATATCAAGACGCGCTATCTCTTTTTTAAAACAAAAATTATCGAATAAATGTGGTGCCCCGATTTCCGATCAAACAAAGACGATTTTGTCCTTTGAAATTTAACACACAGTTTTTCATTATTTCACCAAAAAAATTATTTTGTGTAGCGCCCTCTCAAACAAAACTCAACTATTCCTTTAATGTGGTTAAATTACGCCCCCGATGGAGGCATCAACGCGCATCGAATAATGTACTACGAGGAAATTATACGGATTTCCTTACATAAGTAGAAACACAAAGCTACACCCACACACATAAAGACAATAGACAACATAAAACATAACTTGATCGTTTGTGTGTAATTTAATCTCTTTTTCATAATAAGAAATAATTGTTTGTCTGCTTGTCTATATTTTAGAGTCCATTCTAAATATATACATGTTCGTACATGATGTAGGTACATAGATATAATAGTACGTCTTTTCAAACAAATGAATTGGAATCTTCAGGTCTGGTACAACCTGCCATGTAAAAAGAGAAGATTGTTTATTTTGGACTCAGCATGCTATAAGGAAATTCCCATTAAATTTGATTAAAGGAAGCCTTTAAATGGAGTCAATTTAGAATATAAAAAAATATATTGACCAATTGACCAATTTAATTTTGTGTAAGTCTACGAACTACCGTCTTTACATTTATTGGAGTCATTACTTTCACCACAAGAAATTGTAAAACTAGTAAAAAGGGTCATGCACAATGACGGGCTAATGTAATGATATATTGATTTCTTTTACCTGCAGGTTCACCAAAACCGCATAAACGATGCATCGTCCTTGGCATAATGGTGTTCTTCTGATTGGGGTATTCCTCACCCTCCCATTCTTACTGGAAGCCAGTTCAATTTGTAGCCAAACAAGAAGGTTAGTCAATAATAGTAAAGGTGTTGGTCCAAGTAATGGATTTGGTGAAAGTGTTGGGGGGGGGGGGTCGGTAACAAATTGCGGTCGTTTTATAGTTACTTATTTAATGTGTTTTGGGATCCGACTTCTCTTTTTGTACCCGTTGTTTTCCTTTTCTTTTTAGTATGTCACAATTATCCATACACTCATGACAATGGATTTCAAGTAAACATTATGTTAATCGTAATATAATTTAAAAAAATAATTGACGTAATCACAATATATTTTCGCATAGATTAAAACTTTTAAAATAGTCGATTCCTGCAATAAGGGAAAGTAGAAAAACTGCCTCAGAATATATTTCCAGATTGTTACCGTGTGAAAATATTCATGCACAATTTGGTAAGAAATGCTGTGATCAATCATTATCAAGACTAACCAGGAAAATTTCAACCTGCACGTAATGGATCTACTCAAAACCACTTACCACTGAAAGTTGATATCATAAAAAGTCACGAAATGTTGCAATTTCCTCTTCAGTGTTTAATAATGACCATTATAATAAGTCATTACAATTATAATTATCATAACGACCACGAATATTGTGTAAACAGTGTCCCTGCCAATCAATTTTCAACAATGAACTAGACGGCATAAGCACTTGAATTTTCAGAAATGCATGTCATGTTCTTAGTGATAACATACATATATAACTTGAATAATACATAATTATGCTGTCCTTAAGTTGCCCCCTCCCCCGATTGAAATACACTAGTGGTAAATATGTGGTCACGTGACATGAAATGATAACACTATAATGTTCAGCTCTTTGAATTGTGTCCTAATACCAGATTATATGTTATTATTAAAATCGTTCGTGTTATTTTCATTTTCTATTGTTTAATGCAAGTTTTTGTTTAGTGTTATAGGACTGTAATATAATAAAAAATCCTTGAGCTGCTTGCCTGTATCCTGTCAAAACATATTTTTAATAAATATTATTTATGAGAATAAACCAATAATACCCAGGCGTGAAACACAGTACGTATCAACAAATAAATACTTTGACAATATGATCACGATATTCGCATGATCATAGGCTGGGGTCTATTCAATCAGATAACACTAAAGTATTGACAATATTGTACAATTGCGTAAGCACAGAGTATTTTAGTATAACTCTAAAAACGAAGCCTTTGCGATATGTATAAAACGACTCACTTTATTCTTGAATAGGAGCAAAATGCATATCGGGCATTTTTCTTAGCTAATTTTCACAAGTTGTTCGAAATTAGCCAGTGGTCGTCCAATCATAAAATATTGTCAATGCTTTAAGTGTCATCTGATTGAACAGACCCTCATCCAAAATTGAATATGTAAGCATCATACAGATATCATGAAATTATCATTTTGGTTGACATTTTCATAGTATATATACTTTTTTTTGATACACACTGTATTATATCTAAATTCGACGGTGCACTTTTTTTATTATTATATAGGACATGACCTTTGTTGCGGTACCTTTACCTTTTTCTTCTCCTGTCTTGTTCACGTGTAGCCAGCAGGAGACAGCTAGCATGAGGGGAACAAAATCACTTGTTGTCGCTACATCTTATAGATGCTATTGGTTCTGGAGCTGCACTACCTACAAGTAAATGATATCCTTTTTTTGTAATCCTTTATTCTCCTTTTAGATATTATGTTAAGTAAACTTTTTACTAAGGTAATGCTCCTATGTACACTAATTCACTAGATAGTTTTGTTCCAAGTAAATCTTCGGCAAAGATGTGAATGTGTAGAATAGCGCAATTTTAGTTTGTGTTTTGTTTCAAATTATTACACAATCGGGAAATTTCGTACTTGTTCCTAGTAGCAGGCATATAACGGAACTAAGGAATAATGATATAATATGCGTATTTGTTGACATTGTATTTGTTACGAATCAGCTTTGCCATGTTTACTCATGAACTGGAATCACATAATAAGCATTTTTTAGGGAAATGTCCTTTGAGTTATTTAGTTACACATTTTTAAACCAAAGGCCGTATTCATATATAGTATTTACAATAAATATGTTTTAATTTGGACACTATGATATTCTCTATAAATGAGGATGACGCGTTCTTGCAAAATGCACAAGTTAAAAGTCCCTTTCCTCCTTTTCCTCGACCTGACATGATGATGATTGATAGTTGAGAGCGAGTTCTGTGTGAACGGATATTTAATATCCGTATAAAATGGCAGGTTACGCAGTTATTATAAAACAATGTAATGGAATTGAAACAAACAAAAATTAGCTGTATAAAGTGTGAAATCATATTAAGGAACAATGGAAAGATAGGGAGAGAGAAGCAAAAAGGAGGGAACTGAAAACAGATTCACACTAAAATGACATGTACATTATACTAATAGAAAGAAGAAGAAAACAAAATCGCGAATTTTACCTGTATTACATTATTATATACTTGGTATGAACTTGGTATAATATGACTTAAATGACAAGAGGAGTAGGCTGTATCTGACTTGATGAAGTTTCCAAACACATTTTAAAACGTTATAGTCGGAGTGAATTCCTTAGTTTACAGTGAGATTAGTAGTCTTTTTCGTTAAAATTTGTTGAAATTTAGAAGTATATCTCCTGCCACATAATGTTTCTATCATAACTGTTTCATCATTAATGTGGGAGGGGAGGGGTCCTGTGGGGGTACTTTTGAAAACACTTGACTCTCATATAAGAGATGCCGAGTTCAATTATTGATAGGCGCTTACATCGTTGGACAAGCTGATATATAATAATAATAATAATTCTAAGCGCTTAACAAAAATAAAAATAAAGTAATGTTAACCTAAAAATTACAATATAATACATGATTCATGATTATAATAACAAATTCCTAATAACAATCATACAATAATAATAGTTAATATTTACATAGCGCTTTATAGTTTAACAAACAAAATATGATTACATTACATATTGAACAGATAGGTCTTAAGTTTACTCTTGAATGTTTCTAACGTTGGGGACTCGCGACCTAGATATAAATGGGTAAACATGTCAATGCTACTGTCATAACTGTTGCAAGAACACCGGGTCTCAGGCTCAAATTATGATAAGGATGCTATGGCTAAATGCGATCAAAATATGATTCTTATCAATCAGTGAGACATTAATCAATTCAAATATTATCTCTTTTTTTATTTTTTTTTATTTTTAACAGAACGGTCACAGCATACAGGGTGACATATCGACAGGTTACGAAGTACTTCACCACACGTGTATGCTGTGAGGGTTACTTATGGCACCCAGCACAGAGTAAATGCCTTCGAATATCAGGTATTATTATGTTGTTTTCAGTTTCAAAAGGATCACGTTTACTGCATTTCTTATCAAATAGTCTAAACAGTATTGTTTTGACATGTACTATGTGCAAGATAGAGGACATCAGGTCTGTGTGTTATGTAGAGGCGTCGTAGTCGAGTGGGTCAAACATTTGGCTGGAGATACAAAGGTCGTGGGTTCGATCCCCCGGCACAGCACTTATGTCCTTAGTGAAGGCATTTTATCTGCATTGCTTCTCTCTGCCCAGGTGTTAAATGGGTACCTTTGTAGGATGTGAACGTCCATGTAGTTGGATTGGCATGTGTGCGCTCGTTACAATGCCCCCGGCTGGAACACTCCCCAGGGTACAGAGAATGTGCACTATCTTGTGCGAAATGGCAATTAAATCCAATGACCATGATGACCGGGGTTAGCATCGTATTGAGCGCTATACAAAATAATGTGACGTTTATTATTTTGAATTACTGACAGCAAAACTGATCGTTTTCTCTTCAGTTGTAAATACCTGTTTTTGCTGCCTACTAGGGACCCAATAAATGCCATTAAACATGGAATGTAAACAAACTTCGGGTTCCATAGGTAACATTTTGACATGAACAACTCATCCATCCATATTTCAAAGTTTGAAACATGGATATACTGTACATCCGTATGTTTACAACATGCCAAGTACACCAGTGACCATCATTCTAAGTGTGGGAAGGGGGAGGGGGCTAACGTGAACAATTATTAGTAAAAATTAGATATTGTATTTGATCTCTTTGATGTAGGTCTATGTAGTTTTTGACTTGCCTTATAATTAATCTGTGCGCGTCTCATTTGATTTCTGCTCTGGTCAGTAATAGTGTTACAAATCATTTTCAATCCCTGAAACCCAATCAGTCAATGCAAATTGCTTTATACTTCAGGTCCAGAAGAAACTCTGTATACGACAACTGAGAATCCATCTCTAAATCAGTCATTGTCACCAGGGAGCAGTCTGCCAAATAATTCTTCATCTCCGAATCGTACTGTCCTGGTCGTCTTACCCAGAACGACAAAACTCCCGGCCAGTAGCAACCCTCCCATTACAACGACCACGCCTAGCAACGGTAAAGATCAAGCCATGGTGGCGCCATCAAGGGCACGGCGACAGGCAATCATTATGATCAGCATTCTCCTTTTCTTCATCGCCGTGATCGTAGTGTCAATCGTACTCGGCTGCGTGGTGTACCGACGACGGAGAGCTCGCAGAATACAGAGGAAAAGTCATGAGTGAGTGTTGTTCAGTTGTTATGTATTTCTAGATTTTACTGTATGTCCTTAAAATTTAATTATTCCCTTTATTCTTTCCTCTGCCTGATCCCTGGCAATTATTCGTTACCAACTGCCAGTCGTCACCTATCGCACGACCGACTAAGATCGCACGACCGACTAAGATCAGTCGTGCGACTGGTTTTCCAACGTGGCTTCAAACGTAGATAATGATCGCGACTGACCCTAGTCGCGAGACTAAATTGGTTGGAGGTTGTAATTTAATAGTATATGTTACACATAGTTGCACTATACTGGATAATTTCGTGACTCACAGTATTGGATGTGAAAGACGACGTGTCACGTTATAGAAACTATTTGACGAAATCTTATTTATGATTTGTATTCATTTTCCTACAGTTTGCACATGGAACCACTTCGTGACTTGCAGCTCCTGTCGGAAACAAGTAAGTAATAACAGAGAAATGAGAATGATGTGCGAGAAATAAACGCTAGTTATATATTACTGTGCTAAACATGGGTCTACATTGAACAATTGCTATTGGTCACTCCTTCGACTATCTTAACTGGAGGGTGGGGTTTAGGAAGGTGGCCTTCAGCATGTTCAGTACACGTACTGATTGATACCCAATCTGTTTGGGTACAATCTTAACTTCTATATATATCAGACATGTCAGTTAGCTTCGTTTAAGGAAATATATCTTTAAATGAAATATATGGTATTGACTTACTAAATGTAGAACAAAAAGGCGTATTTGATCATTGCATCATACATGTATATAAAAATACATGGATATGTAGAAAGAGAGAGAGAGAGAGAGCTTTATGATTTAACTTTGGTATAAAAGGGACTTTGACATTTGAGTGAAAATGCATGATCAGTTTTTTTTATATAATCCTTTAAACACTTTTTCCTTCTTGCTCAAAGGTTCCCACATTCTGCATTTCTCTCCACCTTCCGCACCGGACGACGAGTATGCAATCGTGGACAAGAAGACGAAAGTTCCACCACCAGCCAAAGACCCTCAGCCAAGTTATGAAAACACTTGCATTGTCGAAAGACCCCCTGATGATAATGGAAAAGACAAAGCACAAGGAAAGACAAATAGTCTGACACACACTTACATGGATAGATCCGTCTGTTTGGAGACCAACGAGAAGATGATTATTCCCGTTTCCATGGCGACGGTACCTGACAACTGTTACAACGAAGTTGATGAGATGCCATCGAGTTCAGTCAGCCCAGACGGAGGCGTGCAGGAGTATGACTATTGCTACACTAAATTTGACAACTCGTCACCAAACCCCAATGAGTGTTATGCAGAAGTTGATGATATGCCACCAAGTTCAGTTTCTCGAGAGGGCGCCATACAAGAGGAGTATGAAGCAATAGGTGATGTACAGGGTACATACGACCATCTGGACCGAGGTTCTACACCGGGTACCTCGGATCGTGAGATATCTTCCAAAGAGGGCTGCGACACTTCAGGCGGAAAGTATGGCGTCCTTGTACAGTCCAGCTCAGTGGATTCACCTGAAAACTACGATTCCTTCCAACGGAGCGTGTCGGAAACCGATCAGTCTGGCATCGATGGCTATGCACCACTTCTTGCAGTTCCATCGTCTGGTTCAAATGCAGCCGAACTGGTAGATGCCGATGCATATGACGATCTCGACAGAGCGATGCCGAAAACACAAAAGAAAGGCAAAGATCTTCTCGAGAAACTACGACAAAGCCCCAACACGGCATATGGACATCTCGGGTCAAGTTTCGAGAGCGATACCAGTGAGACCGGCTCAGAGAAAATTCTTGAAGCAAACCCTGATATGGAGCCCATTTACTCCAATCAAGATGTTACATTGGTTGGAGACAACAAATCGACGTACACAGACATGTCCGGGAGTAGGCCCAACTCTGTACTCGATAGATCTATCAGCCTTCGTAGCGAGAAAGCCCCAGTCGAATCCTACACGGAGATGTCTCCCACTCATTTCTCGAACAACTACTGCAACGTCGATCTGGAAAACATTGATGAGGACCACTAAATCATGGGTTGGAAGACCATAGACCTCTAGCAGGTTCAAGGTAGTACTGATCTTGACTACAGCAAGTCGACCCTGGTGGTAGATAGACAAGGGAACAACATGCTGAGCACATTGAAACGCGGTACTTTAATAAAATACTTCTAACTTATCAGTACGAAAATATGCGACTAAGAAGTAATACTGTATCTTTCTGTCATATAAATATGGTCTTATATTTTCTTTCACAGTACCATATAGTCTTGATAGTGATAAGGACAATGTGACAAAGCATTGAGGATGCCATAAAAAAACATGTTTGACGGATCAAAAGATCCAAGCTGTTTATATATTTCAACACCATTGTCCAAAATACCCATAGTTTTAAGATAAAAACAGACCATTGTAATTGACAGTGTAGAGGATACATTTTATCAAGCCGATCTCATAATAACTTACTTTCTGTAATAAATGTTTATCGGTATTGAACTATATGATGTTTCAAAATTTAAAACAGAAATGCTTTTGTAAAAGCACCCACTCCATATACTCTAATTGATGCAGACATTGAACACAAGATGAAGAAGACTGCGCTAAGCATACTCCGTTCATGGTTTTAGAATCGGTGTACTGTTTATAATGTACTCACAATTACTTTATTTTTAAAAACTTGAATAGCAGATAACCTACATGTACTACTAATGACAATATACATTTTTTTCTCTCTCAAAATGACCATTCGTCAAGTGTTTTAATCGAAATGTATCATATTAGTACAACTAAAGATAAATATTAGTCTTTGAATGTTTTGAATATTTTGAATGTAAGTGTCATGTAAAATTCATGTAACACATTAAAGGGCAGAAATATGCTCATGTCTATATGTTTAGGAAAAATAATAAACGGCTGTATGAGTGGATTTATACTTTAGTCACCAGACAGAGATGTAGTAAGTAATATTACCAGAAGGTGTATTTCTGAGGTCATGGATCCGGATTTTATTTTTGAAAATGTCATAGAGAGTAATATTACACAGTTCTTTATTCTTTCACTGTTGTTTTATTTTTTATTTCTCAAAACGATACCTCGGTTTGTCTTCATTTTACTCTCTTTCCTTTTCATCCGTTTATCTGCTCAATAACATTTAATTGTTGATATAACTACAGACACAACGGCTCTCTATGTGCCTAAAATAAAATTGAAGATAGGTGAGCGAAGTTTTCATTACAGTGGTCCGGTTTAAATGGAATAGGTTACCTTGTGAATTACGCTGCAGTATGTCAGTTGAAGTATTTAAGAAACATCTCAAAACACACCTTTTTACATTATAATTAACTGCGTTACATTTGCTATCATCTTTTTGTTGAGTTTAATTCATTGACTTATTTGTTTGTAAAGCGCTTTGTTCAGTTGTAAATTGGATATAGTGCTATAAAAGAAACAATCTATTATTATTATTATTATTATTATTATTATTATTATTATTATTATAAATGCTGGTCTTTATTATAAATAATGATTTTAAAATAATAAAGTTAATTGATAACAAAAGATCATACTGTTGATATGAAATTATTATCCTGGTGATACTGCTGATTAAGGAATCAAGATATATAGGGGCGTGGTTTGTGTGTTTGGTGGCATGCGTGCCCATGATTTAGTTTCTTATAAACCCCTACAAAATATTGAAAAACGCACCGTTATGCCTCCTAAACACAATCGTTTTACTTTCACATTGGCCCCATATTCAGATGTACATGCACAGTCCATGGTAAAATAATCATTACAAATGGGGCATCATTTTAAAGGAGAATAAACAGGCTTTGCAATCATACCAACGTCACTGATGATAATGAACAAGAAAGATATCAACGCTAAAACTTGAACTGCAGAACTTTTTTTGATGTGTTTATATGTTTCTTTGATAAGTAGCACGTCCACACTATGGAACAAAACATCAATAATATCCTACATCAATATTCATAATTATACTTCACGAAGAAATGCGAAATTTTCTTATGAATGAAAAACTTGTTACTTTTCTTTGGAATTCGTGTAGTAGGGGCATCCTAGACGGGATATAAGGGGTATTAATTCCCAATTAAGTTTTTTTCCAATTCATATTGATTATTATCATGATCACTGGGGACTAATTTTTCCTTTTTGTACTTTTGGGGGAGTCAGAATATTGAGACCCCTGCCCTATTCATGATGTTCTAGCAACACCCATTCCAATGGGAAGGGGTGTCAATATATATAAGTTCTTATATATAGTATTCCATAAGAGGTTGAAGAAATTACTGTCATTGTCAATTATATTTTCTATATTTATTGATTTCACCTAAATTGTATCATAACGTGAAGAGAATGTCATTTAAAACACATTTCTGCAAGGATTTTCAAAACAAATGTGTTATGAAAGAAAACATTTTGTTTTTTTGCGTACAACAGAAAACCCAAATTGTGTTTTCATTTATCAATATACAGTATATATATATATATATATATATATTTTTTTTTTTTAAACATTTTTTTTAGGGGGAATCTTTGCAGAAGGGTCTCTTAAATGACACCCTGTTACACATTATGATACAATATAAGTGAATTTTACCATCACATTTTTGGCGAATTTGAGTCTCCCAACACTTTAGAGGGGCTTTATTTTGTAATTGACAAAGAGATGAAACATAGATTATTTTTTTAAAGCTGAAGCCTACTGTACTTAACGTTATCATATAATCCATTCGGACACAGGAAACGCGTATCGTCGGAAGTTGGTGATGTAAACGAGATTTTTAAAAATGGATAAATCGAACCTCTATTATCACACACGAAGCCTCGTTTATAACAAGTATTTAGTATTGCATGCATACATGTGAGGATGTTCATGAAAATACACATGCCGCCCCCTACCGATTGAAAAGAAAAACCGACAGCCCGTCAATAACATATCGTCATCGTTGTTGTAGATCTGTGCCAGAGAGAGAAACAGAGGGGTGCTCGCACTAACAACACGACTTTCGACATATATCTACATTATTGCATGACATATGTGTACCCTGGAAGTGTTGTTAAACTCCCAGTTCAAGGATGAAATCTCGATTGTCATAACTGCATTAGAGATGTGCCACATGAAGGTGTTTAGTGAGGAGAAACAAAGTTTGCGCAAGTAAAACTGAAAAGGAATACTTTTGATTATTAGGACACATTTCGCAGGTAAGTTGAACACATACGTTTTTCCTTTCCCACGGCTATTATGTTAACACTGTTTGTAACATGTTTTATTAGTAAGCTTCAGTGTATGCCATGTAATGTTTATGTATTCGATGTATTCTTGCCCAGCCGAAACTATCTCCACCTCATTGATACACTGCATATCAGCTTCTGTTATTTTAGAAAATCCATCATTATAGCAAGTTACTTAGTTGTATATAGTATATCTCTGCATGTGCCTGAATGATATACAGAATGTATTCAAAACATATAATACAGTAGATGTTTTAGATATTGAAGCTATTGGCATCAAAGTGATTCAACATTCTATGGGAACTTGATTGAGAGGGTAATGCGTACCAAACTATATGGGTAGCTCTAATTATAGAACCCAATTTTATATCATGTACCTAGTATGACAGAAGTTGTATCAGTACCTGGCTTAATAGATCATTTCGTATGTAATACTCTTAAGATGACTGGGTATAAGGTTGACAGTAGGCTTAACGTTACCTGAGCTGGATAGCGCACCAACTAACATGTTCTAGGTTTGGAATACAAAAATTGTAAAAGTTCTATATTTTCATCGTAACATTAAGTTATATCCCACGTTTTCTCTTTTATTTTGGACAACAATGAAGTATCACTCAGGTGAAGCTATTTTAGCTATACACTTCTTGCACCTCCGGTTGCCTACAATTTCCAAGGACCATCATGACGTTTTGGGAACCCACTTTCCTGATCTTTCTTATCACGTGCGTGTCTATTGTGTATCCTCTCACTGGCTCCAACGTCTGTACCACACAAAGGTAAGGCCACCAGGGACCAGTTTATGAGGGAAAAAGGTAGTGATGCTCTAAAATGATGTAAATGCTTTGAAAGAAGCACTGTTTTATTCTTTATTAGGGATGGTGTCTTACCCTTTTCGCTAAAAGAAAAGAAAAAATTCAATCCAAAAGACATTACACTATACCTGACTTGATTGTTTCATCTCTTCACCGTTGATGTAGGCTTTAATAAATTTTGGGGAGGGGAAGGATTCACGTATAAAACATTCGTCTTAAATGCTGGTGGGGGTTGTCATGATGTATGAAATTGAAATATCATTCTTTTTACGATTCGCAAAACCTTATTAACTTAGATAATTATGTTGATTTTATAGTAACATTATTATAAGCTATTCACCAATGAGCCATGTAAGGCAAGGAAAGACCCAACTCCATCTTCATAACTTTTTTTTCTTCAAGTGAATGTTAATCTTGGTATATAATCTTGGAAATTGTTTCACGGATGATGCCTGAATTTGGTACATCGTGGAATGCATGCGAATAGAGCAAAATGGAAGTCAGACAGACAGCTGCGTGGAGCAGGCATCATGTTACATGTCATGTCAAAACAGTGAAAGAGGAGAATATGAATCTCAGTATGACCCCTGTGTCTTCATTACTAAGGAGATCTTGACTTGACCTTTTAACACGATCCGGGTGGATCGAAACCATGAGGGTAACAAAAATATGGACCATGTGAACCTCCTTTCTAGTTGTTTACACCGTTTCCCCTTCCTAAATCAAATATATTATAGTCACTTTTGTTGTTACATTTGTTGTTTCTTTCCTTTTAGTGAAATTTGTCCTGGCATCAAAATATGTTGATATCAATGGTGATTAAATGTAGACTGGCAGCTTATAAAAGCGTTCAATTGATTATAAAGGAAACAACATTTTTCCTCAATGTTTTCTCTTCAGTTGTTGTTATTTTTGTAAACAAAAAGTTCATGCAGCAGGTGAATAGAAAACAGCGATTTACACTAACTGGGGTCATGATGATATGGTAGTATATATCTTTTGTGTATCAATAATTTTAAAGTTCATATCTTTAGAATGATAATTGGTTGACCAGGTCACCCTTGCCGTGGACTTAATAATGAGGCGTGATGGTTCAGTGGTAGAGCAGACGTCTCCCGGGTTCGATACCAAGTCGATGAGCAAGTGCCTTTAGTAAATCATTATTGCTCAATGACTAATTCTCTCGGGTAGGCTGAAATACTCAACCAACCTATCAATCAATGAAATGAAGCCATCAATTAGTGAATCTTTTTTGTTCTTGTCTCGAGACATTTAAAACCTTAATGACCAACTTTCACAACCTCTCTCTCAATGAAACCTCACAAGACAAACAACAAAACATGAACAAATCCATTACCAGAAAGAAATAATTACAGGTATGCCTTGATGTGTCTATAACACATACTTATAGAAACATAACCTTCAGCTGCTAATATTGAGTAGAAATCCTTTTATAGTATGTAATCTCGATGTTTTCAACGTGATAATCGGAAGCAACCATCCTTCCGCAAACCCATACCGCTGACCTATCAGTTTACTGTCAGCGGTTTAGCTTAAAGAGGCCGTGTTATTTCTGGTTGAACAGTTCTTCGAAATCAAATTATCTACAGAATATAATACAAAATAGGAAAATTAAAACAATTGTATTTTCTTGACTTTTCAGAGTATCGATGGAAAGATAATACAAACGTAATCTGTACGCCTACACAAGGAATCAAAAGTATTCCGTTGGAATGTTGAGCGAACTCATATAGCAACGTCTGCCGTTTTTGAGCCGCCGAATTCAAGTTTCCGTTTGACCATTCGATACTTAGAGAAGATTACGCATATACCATGTCTACTATTGTCCAGGAGAGAATATATATCTCACGATCTCTCCACTTTCTAACTATGTATCACTGAGTCATGTGAGTCTCTGTATATGATTGTATTCAAATCATTGCGGCATCTTTGTTTTAATAGCAGAATTCATGTACTTCATGTTATATGTAAAGAGACCACATCCTTTTGAGACAGAGTCCTAATCTGGGATTAAAGCTTGGGAAACCAAATGGGAAACATAATCTACCCAATAAAGAGGTAGAGTTTTTTAAACAATGGAGGTGAATTTGAATGATCATGTCAATTTAATGATATATTACAAAACAGGATGTTGTTACGTCAAGTAAGAAACGAATTCGCGTCAAAATATCCGTAACGATTGAAGGTTCTGTTAGCCGCAAACCACCTACATTGTCGGTTAATTTTGCTCTCTTTTTTGTCAGTTATTTTCCTGTTTTTAAACTCTCTTGTTCCCAAAATGAGATTCGTGTGAGAACCAATCATGATATTAATTACAAGCTGATTTGACCACCTGTACTTTTAGAATATTGCCTTCCCGCTCATACATGGTGTCAATGTTCATATAATTTCATACTGTTGCTATTGAGTGAAATATGAAATAGATCAGCCTTGAACTACCCTTCTATTTAACTCGAAAAACTTTGAATATAGATTTGTTAGAAAGAAGAACAAGTAAATTTGCTTTTAGTGTTTTTCAGTAAATATCACGCCTTCCATACGTACATACATGTAATTATTGTAGATTGTTTACACCGTACAGCTACATGGTAACACTTTCAAAGCATTTGTTTGTAATTTTGTGATGTAGGTCTCGAACAAACAAAAAAGTTTAAAATATGTGCGATATGAATGTTTCACCTCAATGTATACGACATGACCTCACCCCCCCCCCGAAAAAGTATAATGATAACCATAAGAATAAACTTAGAATTTTATTAGAACTAAAATTTACGAAAATATAATGCCAGCAATCTTTGAATAATGTCGTTAATCATAAATCAATGTCATGTTGTATAAATTCATTACATTACACTTCAATATTTAACATACCCTGTGTAAGTAAGAGTAGGTTTATGAAATTCATGAAATTCGAAATAATTATTAAAGAAAGCTTGAGTGCCTTAGGTTATGTGAACAACCACGATTTGCCGTAATGTTTTTATTTATTGAGATCACTTAAACCCCCGTATTTCCTCTCGTTGCTAAGTTGATAATCCCCGCTTATTTATAATCTGATTTTCCGTGTACGAGTATTATAAACACGGAAACATGAAATTGTAAACCCTGAAACATGTCATTAGTACCTAAAGTGAGTTTTGTTAAATACATTCTAAAAATAAATATTTATAACTTACTCGAAGTTTTACGTATGTTTTGATAAGTTGATCAAAAGGATACGCATAATAGGTGCATTACTTCTTACCATAATTTGGATACATTTATTGTATATAAATGTATTAATATTTTAACGAAAACTTATTAGTGATTTATTACATCTGTAAAGAAGAACGGTTTGATACTTAAGTTTTACTTCATCTCTCATAAGAACAGGGTTATTCTAGTAAAGGATCTAAGTACTGAGTATGGCAATCCAGTCATTTTAATTTTCATGTAGGCTTATGTTTAGGTATATTTCAATCAGTATGTTAGATTGTATTTTGCCATTATTTTATGCAGAACATTTTTACATACAGTAGGCAGAATCTATATCACAAAATGTTGTATTGCAGATCAGCTGAGTTATATATGAAATTAAGGATAGCAACTCTTCTCAATCTTTCAAAATTGAAATAACATCAATTTTGCAAAGAGCCTAGCACTGCTTTCCTCTCATAATATAAGACAGCATATCACATCTATTTCTTGCTTGATCACGGTTTATCCAATATCCAAACGATTTGAAATATTATTTATCTTTCTTGCAGCCTTGTTCCATCCACTTCGGTTCATTCGTCAGCTGCTCTTGATTTGAACTGTGAGGAGTTAGGCTTTACGATTGCCGCATGTCAAGCCGCTAGGTTAGTATATACCATTTTCTTTAAAAAAAACATTAATTTTGTTGATGTATTATGATGATAATCGAAACAACAATAAAGAAGGAAAGAATGCTGTCCATATCTCTATTAATTTTTGTCTACGTCGGTAACGATTGGCGACCAAATGTAAAAAAGAAGAAATGTGTGTGTGGGGGGGGGGGTAGGGTTAATAAACAATTTGAGGACCTTATATACTGCAGATTTTAGGACATATTGTTACCATGCTAACAGAGATTGGCCAAATCCTACCTACCTACCTGAAGACTAAGTTCTCACATATTTTTTTTAAACATCGATCATAAATTGTAGGTAACATTTTCTAGATTACACCATGTATTTGATTATGTTGATGGTAAACCCACACTTAATAGACCCGTTTACTAACATATTCGTTTTAACAAAGGTTGTTCTTTACAACCTGAAAGCTTGCCCAAGGATTACCCGATATAGCAATATATAATGTATGTAGACTGGATTCCAAGTATTGTAGTTCATTCATTAACAATAGGTTAATATAATAACTCGTCACTAGTTCCCCAGAAATGAACATCCATAAATTTGAATATGTGTATTAGAGAGAAATATTAGGGCAATATTAAAGCTAGTTAAATGGTTAGAAAAAACAAATCTAAACTAACCAGCATGCATGTTTGTGGTATATTCATGACAGTATAGCGACATGGTGATTCTACAGCCTTCACAACAGTACAGGATCTAACCCATATTGATTTTCAACTCCATTTTTTAAAATTGTAATTTCACTTTTGAAGGAATGGCAGAATAAGCTTCAGTGAACTCTACTTGACGATAACCACTAATTCGTGCTGTGATGGATGGACTCAAGAGGGAGATATTTGTTCTTGTAAGTGCGATTATTACGAAATAAGGGAGTAAGGACGTTTCCTGAAACAAGACTTCAAAGATAAAGGAAAATGAGGATATGTGCGATTCCTCGCAATGTGTCCAGTTTAATATTTTTCCAGAAAAAAAAGAAAGAAAAAAAAACTTTCAGATTACCCATTAGTCATATTCAAATATTTTCATTTTATAATGAAATAAATGAAACGAAAAGACATAAGATAAAGTATCTATGGACACATTGCACAAAATCGCCCTTCAGACAAACCAAATGTTACTATGGAGTGAACAATTCTAATTACATTTTATTACCAAATAACGTTTTCGCAAGATTGCAGTACTTCCGTGTGTACAGGGGTCGAGCACCGTGGTCATGAAATAAGAAATTTTAATCACGGTTTAGAAATAACTATAGTATATAAGAGAAGAGATAGCGAGCACGGGGTAAGGGTGCTGGTTACAGATCATAAGGCCTGCCACCATTATGCGTATAACCTTGATATGAACATTTCTAAAGAGAGAGAAAAAACGATTGAGGTCGAGTAACTCCTTGATTTTGCAACTCTTTATTTGAGTACTGATTCTTTCGTACTCTCTTAATTTATTTTGATCAATTTCGTCTGAATTCCTAATATTTATTAGCAACTTATTTGTGCCAAATGTTTTGATGGAATGATTAAATTATGGGTCAGATACTTTTTAATTCACATAAATTCATGCTTGGTTATTATATTTATTATCAAGACAGCGGTTGTTGTTCCTTTTCTTGCTGTTTTTCCACCACCATCCTGCTATCTACCTCCTCTTCTATTTCTCCCCTCTAGTATACTCATCTTTCTTTTTATTTTGCTTTCTCACACATAACAATAACTCTCAACATCATCTTCTCATTATTATGGTAATACACTGTTCTCCTTTTTATCATTCATTTTCATCTTTTCTTTCTTCCCTACCCTATTTTAGCTTGTCCTACTGGGCGGTATGGTCGTAACTGCTCACTGTCCTGTCAGTGCCTTAATGATGGAATATGTAATCACCTGACTGGGGAGTGTAGCTGTACTGAAGGTTGGACAGGGAATCACTGCGAAGAAAGGTATTGTATATCTGGTCTAAAAGTTGTTTAACAATTTAAATTATACTGCTGTTTTATTTTTAAAGGTTACCCGAACATGACCTCGATTTAATAAAACAAATGTTTCATTATTGTCTCTCTTTTTGACCTTGAAATTACTTCCTGAGCTCGCTGTCGATATCTTTTTTCGAACAAGAGAAGTGAGGAATATCGAGCTGTTTCGAGCAGTGACATAGTCGAATAAAAATGCTTCGATTTTCCCCTTACACCATAAATTTGACTGCGATTTTAACAATCATGAAGTCATGTGAAGAAAAAAATGATTGTTATCGAACCCTTTGTATTTCATATTACTTGAACTGCACTATGTAATGATCGAGCTTAAAATGGATGCATGTCTATGTAAGCATTGTATGAGTAGATAAGCCATCAATTTCATATTACGTGCAAAAACGAGAGTTTAAGATTAAATACTGGTGATAAAACTGATATGGCAGTAATGCCTTGGCGAGAATTCAAATTTTCAATGGGAAGCAACCCTTGTAATGCATTCTATAGTCAATGACATTTAACTTTTGGTAGCATGCAGTATCAACCTCTTCAATTGCATTTTTTACATACAGGTGTACAACTGCCACGTACAGCTCAAACTGTTCTCTACCATGCCTAGTTGTGTGTGAAAATGGCGGAGTGTGCCATCCCTCTAACGGCCATTGCTTGTGTGATTACGGATGGGAGGGTGATTCATGCAACACCAGGTGTGTGGGACAAAGATGCTACATGGAAAGCGATTCTTGCAGCAACGGCGCCTCTTATGATCCCACAGGTAAGCTCCGCGCAAACTTTGGTAACTGCCTCTATCAAATTCTTGAAGTGTGACCACAGAACAGTTTCCACTGTCTATGACGTTATCTGATTGCCGTAATTTCCATGGCATGCGAGGGTTCATTTTGATTGCGTGATTACTTGCGCCAGTTATGCAAATGACACAGTTAATGTTTGCACTGTTCATTTTGCATTCAATTATTGTCGCTCTTTACTGGCCCTTCTAGGATCGCGCCAGCCGGTGATGCAAAATCTGCAGTCAGCAATTAACGCCGCATGTGTAGCAGGGATAAACTTGTGGCATTTGGGCAAGCCTCTCGAAGAGTTGAACATGTAGTCCCGTAGTTGAAAGATGGATTATGTATGTGACGTGGATGCTTCTCCTTGATCAGACTGTAAAGATGATTGGTTCTAATCAACAAACGTTCATGTATCAACAAATATCCTAAATTCAAAGCAAAGATGAGGGGGGGGGGGGCTACATCCTTCACCCCCGGCTATGCTATAAAATGTATAAATGCAGCAACAGAAGTAAACAATACCGCGCGGATGTTAAACCAACTTTGTAAAATAATGACATTAGTGACGCATTTAACGACATATTCTTTTCATTCTTGATGACCTCTTGGATGTCCATACAGGTCATTGCTTTTGCGCACCAGGATGGCAAGGTCGTTACTGCACCGAGCCCTGTCCATCCAACAGACACGGGACCTTCTGTGACGAGGTGTGCCAATGTGAGAATGATGGCCTCTGTAGCTGGGAGGATGGTTCTTGTCTCTGTCAACAAGGCTACTCTGGGATGTTCTGTGAGAATCCCTGCGAGGAAGGTTTCTACGGACAGGACTGTGATCTCAGATGTAACTGCCCTATGGTTGGAGGATGTGACGCCGTAGGGGGCGCCTGTCTAACGTGCCCGATCGGGTATTATGGCCCAAGGTAAGACGAAATCGAAATTTAGTATTTTCAAGTTCAATTTCTTTCATTTTCTCTGATATTTGTGTGCATTTTACTAGGTGATAAAGTTAGGTAAAACATATTATATTCATAATTATTTTCATAAAGTTTAATAACAGTGGTATTATGATGAAGGGAAAAGCTGTAAAATCCAAGTGAAGCATTTTCACTTCTTGGAAGAAGATATACTTTAAAGGGACTTTGAAACATTGTTCAGATGAGAGATAGTGATGCTAAGGTAGTGACTTCAATGCTATATGTACAATTAAAGATAATCTGAAAATTTCAGTGAAAACGGATCATTATTCATGGTACAAATTGGGAAAAACTGATCTGATCGATTCCTTAATTCTCCCAACTATATTATTCTACTTCTATTCTGCTACTTGTCAAAGCCTGTTCAACATTAACCTCTTGTCGATGGCCCTCGCGTTTTCGGAGTCCGTAAATTCTGGCGAGCGAAGCGAGTCAGAGAAACCGAGCGTAAATTCTGGCGAGCGAAGCGAGTCAGAATTTACGGACTCCAACAAAGCGAGGGCCATCGACAAGAGGCTAGTTCAGCATCAAGACAAAGGCAATTTAATTACATTTTAGGTGAATGTAAATAGTCACAAAGCAATAAAATGGCTCTACATTCCATTCCAGACAGTTAAGTGTTGACAGATTTTTATAGCCTGTTTTATGTATTTTTCTCATGGAAAACGGTTGGGAAAATTGAAAAAGGGTTGGGAGAATTTACTGTTAATCACTGTTAGAAGGTGCCTCCCATCGACACCTTTAAAGAAATCCATAGATATCTTTGTGGTTAGAGAATTTGTTCAGGATTGTTTGCATGTCAGAGGGTTAGTATAGTAAAAGGAATATAGTAAGTAACATTTTATACAAAAATTAAGCAATTTTTTCATCAACCTTCAACAATGTTACCGAGTCACTTTAAGATCGGAAGCGTATAGCTTTGAAAAGAGAGACGTATAGGACACGTGTACACCCATTCAAATTGAACAAGGGAGTAAAAAGAAAAGAAAAGAAAATATAACAGTGAGATGTCTGTTTGAAAAGGGTGATATGTCTCGTTGTATTGTTGTATTTACCTTTAAACCTTTTAACACATAGAGAGGCTTCAGTTTGTTACGCGCAATATAAATGTATTTGTATTATCATTTTTTTAATTATCATTTCTGTTATTTTTATTATCATTACCATTTCTGTTATTTGTATTATTATTATTATCATCATAATCCATCTATTCTACCTTTTTAAATAGATGTACCGAGCACTGTCCCCCAAGCTTCTGGGGCCTATCATGTAGCCAACCATGTAACTGTCTTGACCAATCAGCGTGTGATCCATACACAGGGGAATGTCCAGGTAACACTATTGTTCCCAAAATATAATAATTTCGTGATTTTTAATGTATACACTTTAATTCTTAATATTTCATAGCTATTTAATTATTCATGTAGGAACACCCTTTTCCAGTAGACTCTCAGTGTACAGGGGTCGACAGTGTTAATCCTGACACTGAGGCTCATGACCTCATAGAAGTCCTCTCTCGACCCAGGTGTAGTTACTGGATATGGCAGAAACAAATCTAGGAATCACTGAATATATTCCTTAGCAGAGATTGTACTGTGAAACCTGTTTATAAAGACCACCAAAGGGAGGCAAGAAAAGTGGTCTTTATAGGCAGGTGGTCTTTATGTACAGGTTCCTTCTGTACATGTTTCAATGAGAAGCCATTTTCAGGAAAACACAAATTGTGGTCTTTGTAGACAGGTGGTCTTTCTATACAGGTGGTCACTAAAGCAGGTTTGACTGTAGTATGAAACTGTTGGAGCAACGTGTATAAGGAAACATTATTCTGCAACTTGTATTTACTGACACTATCATCAATATGTGTGTCCACAGGCCAGGGCGCACCTGCTCCTTCTTCTACCACGACAGGCATGACAGGTGTGTATCCAGCTGCAGTGACTACAAGTCCAATGCCTTCCACGCTGGTATCCAGATCATATGCCATACCAAGCGATAAAGGCTCACCGCCCATGACATCGTTCACCATACCACTCATCGTCTGTATCCTTCTTGCTGTCGTTGTCGGTCTCTTAGTCGTGATCGCATTAAAACACCCGTAAGTCATATGAATTGTCTTGGAGACATGGCAAAATTTCAAAGTAATACTTCTCATGCGGATTGTATGTCCAGGGCCCTGTTTCATAAATATGTTCGTAAAGTTACGCATGACTCCACGAACGACTTGTATATGAAAAGCCAAATGGGATGCTCAATCATTATTAACTGCATCAACTAAAGTTGAACTGTGCAGATGTAGATTAACATTCTTATTATAAAAAACATTTTTAATGCAAAGTATATTTTTTGCCATAATTTAATTGAGGTTATTGGAAATATCAGGAAAAACTTTGGGCATCCTATCTGGGACTTCATATACAAGTCGTTCGTAAAGTCATGCGTAACTTTACGAACAGCTTTATGAAACACCCCCCAGGTAGTTTGTTGATGCTATTTGTAATTAAACTTTCCTTCTTCTCTTAGTCTCAGAGGAAAAAAAAGACCTACCAAGGCAACCCACAGATAGAATTGTGCAGATTCGGAGATACGTAATTTCTTTTTGGACTCTTGATTGGGCTATTTTAGACGCATTTTAACATAGAAAATCTGCTGATTACCACAAGGGAATGGTTACTCTGTACAAGCTCTGATGGATAACCGTTTCGAATAATACACATGTTTCTTGATTCTTTTACATAAGGACCGATATCATGCTCTCTCCTTTATTTCTGACAGATATTCAAGGCCATGATTTTATAGTGCATTTCGGTGTATATGTATATATAATTATATAAGTTTCTTTTTCTTATGTGTTGAAAACAATGTAAACACCAGTCATATTATAGACGTACAGTAATCTCATCTGAAACATCATCCTTGTTTATTTCCAGGTGTCGCCGAAAATCGACTATCGGAGCGGAGGGTGTCGTCAAACTCACTCGTAAGTTAAACTATAAGCTTGCAATGCCATCAGCGAAAACGGTTTATCAATAGAGAGAATGCCAAAGAAGAAGTAAGCCTAGAAGAAAAAGAAGAATGGTGAAGATGTTCCCTGCCTTTACTTCCTGTGGTGTCAATTGTGTTATCCCTTGAAGCGAGTGTATTAGATTGGGATATTATGACCATCTGCATATAGCATTTTCTTTTAAGGAGAGACAAAGAACTATATGGCTTAAATTTAACAATTATTGCGGTGATGGTAATGGAAAGTAATATCAAAATTTAAAATCGTATTCCCGAAGAGGGGTAATCCTGAAAAATGTCCATGACATTGTTTCTCGACAGTTAATAAATGTAGATATTGATTTAACTACATTCTTATTTTGTTTTGTGTTTCTTACCCCGATACATCGCAGATCACTATGCAGAATGCAACGGGGGAAAGGAAGAAAGCGATTATGCCGAAATAGTCGATATTAATGGCGGCTATGAGGTTCCGATGCTTGACGAACTCAACAAGCCATCGTCATCATCGAGCACAGGAAAACCTCAATGTGAAGTCAATTATTACCAAGCTCCACCTGTACGAGCGCCATCTAATGACGTAACAACGCCAGATCCTGTGACGTCAAACAAGATTGATAATAACGGATATCTGCACCTTAATGAAAGTAGGTCGCCACCTCCGGAGTATCAAACTATCATTACCAAAAATCAATGGAATCTGAAGTGAGGATACAATCATGATCTCACAAAGAAAAATTGTCATTTGACGAAGGAGTCAAAAGCTTTGGCGCATATATTCCATACAGTTTGTTTATGAATTTTGAATCGCTTGACTTATTCTTACAAATTGTTCTTATCCTTGTATAAATGAATTATGATTGTCAAATTGCTAGAAATGCATAGCTGTGGTTAAAATCATATTCGATATAATGTAGCAGTACTTACATAAATTACTGCATATTCGATATAGAGGTCGCTGAAATTGGTTTATGTGAATGTTTGTACTAATAATATTTGTCAGTACTTAATTTAACTGGAACCTCAGAGGAAACATTTGTTAGCCAAGAAGCCAAGAGGATGATAAAAAATAGCTGTCTCTATAAATCATTCAAATTTATGATTATATAGGGGGAAATTGTTCATCATAAAGAAGGAAGACATAAACATGGTAATGTTAAGGAAGAAAAGAGAATTCTGAAAATGCCCGTTACCGAGCCTGCGTCACTCCAAATGTGGTCAGCGAGCTGCCAGTGGTACCTCAACATTATTGTTATCTAGCATGTTTCGTCTATAATTCTTCTTCTAACAAATTGTTATTAATATATGAAGATAAAGATGCATAATTTACCACAGGTAATAGGCACTGTGAATGTGGGGATAAACACCTTTTTCGATCTTTCCAAAATTTCAAAATCGGAAAACCTATAATAGGCCAAGGGACGCAGGCAACAGACGAAATCCGTACGTTTAAACCTCCACACCACACTACATTCGTAGATGTTTAGCATGTTTTAAAATTTAACCAGTGAGTTTTTACTTGGGCCTAATAACTTCTTCGTTTAACCATTACCAACTAAGCTCAGTAGCTCTCATGGGGTCCCATCACTTAACTCTTTGCCCGCTTCGTTCGGCTAGCGGAACATACAACGGGCTGCCAACTTCGACTCAAGTCCTGTTTCCGCAAGATTAAAACAAAGTTTTTTTATTGTGATCTATTTTGCTTATGTAGCTTAAAACCTCAAGAGTTTGCCTTCAAATCGCTGAAATATGATAAACAAACGCTTGATTATGCAGTTACATGATTATAAAGATGAGGTAAAACGATAAAATCACCATTATTCAAATATAATTTTTAAGAAACCTACTTATAAACCTACATAATTAGCCCATCTATGTATCGATACAAAATATGAATCAAAGATACGAAGTAAATAGATAATGATTACATAACATGTACATTTTTATTCTTGGGATTGATAATCTGAAAGAATTTTAGGAAAGGGAAAGAAAGCTGTAATGTTATTATCTTATACCATGGTTTTAAAGTATTACACTGCCACCGCGTAACGTTTATTATTGTATTTGTGTAAATATGAAACACAAGTTTCTACATGTCATTTACAATTAATTCAACAATACTGTCGTGTTTTCGTAATATTTTGATATGAATTTGTTATCATTAAAAATTTGCTGACTAAAAGATACATATTGCTTATGTAAATGCTATATTATGATAATTGACCAAGAAAGAAGTAATATTTTAAAAAAATTAACATTGTCTAGTTTCTTATCATTCAAACTAAGGACATGCCAATCCATATTGTATGTACTTCTTAGTATATCAGTCACAGAGAAAGAGAGAAGAAGGTCGAGTAAAGGAGATATAAGAAGAAAGGGAGACAACTAGAGAGAGAGAGAGAGAGAGAGAGAGAGAGGGGGAGAGAGAGAGAGAGAGAAAAGGGGAAGAAGGGGGAGTGAAAGATAGACGGACAAAGCGAGAGAAACGAGAGAGACGATGGTTGGTAGGAAAAGGGAGGAGATACACAACTTACTGTAGTTTTCTGAGAAAAAATACGCTATTGAAATAGCTTTCTCTCGCTGCAACCTATTTTACAAAGTTTTGGTATATGGGGTCATGAATTTGGTTCAAATGAACATATACAAAGCATATGCGATTTTACAATATTCAATGATCGTTGTCGCGGTTGAAATCGAGTCTAAAGTGATGAAATTGTAAATAATAAACTCTTTATGTTGTATAGCTCCCTCTCAAGACTGATATTACTTTAGTTTTAAAACAATGTTTCTTGACTACAATCGACCAATTTGCTATTCCCATTTGGAAATTATATATCAGAACTGCATATTCTGAGATTTTCATGTCGCAGCTACATGTACCATGGCCTTAGACGCTATTTGAAATATTTGCAATTTACCGGGAGCACCGGTAAATTTTGATTATGCAATTTCTCGAAAGCAGAAGAGTTTTAAGGGCTTACTTTTCTAGTGCTTATAATACATCAACAGGGGCACCCAAATATATCAACATTTTAAAGAATTACTATCCATCCAATTTTCAAAATTTCCTAAAACTTTGCATTACCTTTAATCTTATGAATAACAGTATATGATACGTTATGACAAAAACAATTAATGTGAATTTAAAAACTGTTTCAACACATTTATCTCAGACATCATGACTGATACGTGAAAAATAATTCTTAATAATCATGCTGTCGATACACATATTCTATTCATGAATAATCTCTATATTCTCATTATCTACTATCAAAACATGCCATTTACAGAGTCATGTCTGCATTAAACTTAACACAATTGCCAAATTAAACTTGACACAATTGCCAAATTGTTTTTAAAGATGTCCCTCTCATTCTAAACCAAACAGTACCACGTCGTCAAAGAGTTAACTTGCTTACATATCCTAACATCATTTTCCGCTTACCCCCGCCGAAACGAAACGAAAATGAATTGTCGAGTAATGAACTTGAGAGAGAGAACATGATCATAATCGGGAGGGGGGGGGGGTTAAAAAGGAAAATCACGGCGGTGGGTCGGTGACACTGAACATTTCATGTAGTTGGTCAAAAACAAAGCACCGTTAACAAACAAGTACAATGCTTTGTTCTTTATTATCATATTTCAATGCCAATGATCTCAAAAGGAAGGATTCTACGGTTGTCAATTCACTGTACTAAAATTGTGTAAACATGAGACAAGCAAAATGTTTCAAAGTTTGCATCGCCACCCTAACAACGCAGAAACAGAAAAGCAAACTTTGTTTGTAAGACTTGAAGTTATTTTTCCATAAGGACCCCCGTCATTGTGTTTAATCTTCATGCCATGGGAAGATTTTTGTAATTCAATACAAGTGCCAACCTCTTGATGACAGAGTGCCCCTTCCTCATTGAAACGTGCCCCTCAATAATGAAGAAAATGTCCCGCTTTTAGTATGTGCAGTGTATACTTTGATCCATATTTATAAAAAATATATATATTATAGCAGCTGGTGCTTTATACTGTTTTAGAAAATTACTACAATTCTTCTTTTTTTTAGGGAGGGGACACCCCTTCACATCTACATACTTCAATTTTTGATTTATGACTAGGAAACAATGTTCATATGAATGAAAGGGAATTATATTCTTTGTACATTTAAAGCAAGGATTCACATTCCCTATACATTGTGTCGTAAGCCCCTTTATAAAGAAAATATATTTCCTTGAATCTGCTCTTGTGAGTTGGTCTAGCGATAAAGTCGGCTCTCTTTAAATACTTTTGACTCTGAACAAGGTTCGAAACCGAGTCGCATCTTTCGAATGATGACGTTAAAGAGGTGTCGAAGTCGAGTGGATGAAGCACTCATGGCCCTGGGAAGCGGGGGTGCTGGGGGTGCTGCAGCACCCCCGGAATTTTTCCAGGGGGGGGGGGGCACAGCACCCCTGCAAATTTTTGTGGTATGATATATTCAATGTAAATCATTATATGCTTCGTTTACAAAATTGTCACACAGCCGTCAGCCAAAAATGAATATTAGAAAGACAAAAATTATAACGTTTATTTCACAAAATCCTATGAAATGTATCACTCGAAAAAATTTGGTGACCCAAAATGACAGACCTAACCCTCCCCCCAATACCGATGGACCAAATTTTCAAATTTTGGGACACACAAAAAAAAATATATATGTCCTGTTACCCCCCCCCCCCCCCCCGCTTATTCAGCGGCTGGCTGAATCGTTGCGAAATTTTTGGGACCAAAAGATTTTTATAAAAAATGGCCTCTTACCCCCCCCCCCCCCCTCCCAATTTGGTATACTGTGTGGGTGTGTGAATCCGATGACCGGGGTAATGATAATATCTGTAAAGCACTTTAATACAGACGGCATTCCGTAATAAGCGCTATATAAATCATTATATATTATTAGATTTATATTAAAGATTGATCCCTAGAACTGATGTAAATAATCATATCTGTTCGCTCATGTTGACCCACATTTGGCGCTCAGTTTCCCTATGTACGTCATGTACGTTTAATGTACGATATTTAAAGATGTTTAAATTACACAAATCTATATCAAAAGTACTGTTTATCAAACTAAAGAGCCAATTATGTACTAAAATGGTGTCTTTTGCACATTTGCTCTACCCCACCCCCCCCCCCCCCCCCCCCCTCGGCCTTGTCCCAGCTCACCATTTTGAAGAAGAATCGAATTGCCCTTTCTCACAATGAGCATGCTGAAATAGAGAACTTTTAAAAAGTAGAATAATCAGATTTGGTCATATCAAGCCCTTTGGGTTGGGTGGGTAATCAACTTTATTTTGGAGGTATGAGCAATTTCAAAAATTGAAATTATTTACCGACGAAATTATTAGAGAGTGACTCGTCGAATTATATTTGGATATCGTATACGCATGATGAGTGGGAGGATATTTCCTTTTTGTGTTTTTTTTTATTTCTAGGCCATCATATCCGATGAACTTGTTATCCCAGACGCATCAAACTGGTGGATATGTCTGATTGCTGGACCCAGAGGAGAGGATAAATAGGAGCTGGTGTCTGAATACCAGTAACAAAGCTCCGAGAAAGGCATCAGTGATCTAGTCCTACTTCAAATCTGCTACAGAGACAGAAAGACGAATATTTGAACACCAAAGAAGGTAAGCTTATAAAATGGTTCTTTTAACTTTTTCTATTCTATTTCTAATGTTTGTTTTTTTCAAGATTTGCCATTCTTCATTTCCATTAAAAAAGAACTGAAGATTAGTAACTATCTACGAAATAAAATTGCATTAAAATAAAGCTTAAAACAATTTGTTTTCATCTAAAATGATGTGTTGTGAAAATATTATCAGACATGCTGTATATATAGAACGAATCTCCGTATCTGTATTATCTAATTTTTTAACAGGTTATTGGTTATCTTTTATAAATTAAACTGTCGTTGTTTCTGTTTCAGATATTGACTGACAACAAAACTGAATCATGATGAAGCTGAACATTACCGTCATCGTAGCTGTGACCCTCCTGATCGTGGCATCCACAGTCGGCGCCGCCCCAGGAGGAAAGCATGGACCAGGAGGCCACGGCCATGACCATGATCACGGGCCGGGGCCGGGACACGACCACGGACCGGGGCATGACCACGGACCAGGACCAGGGCATGACCACGGACCAGGACCGGGACACGACCACGGGCCGGGGCATGATCATGGACCACGGGGGCACGATCATGGGACTGATCACGGTCATGCAACCGATGCCAATGAGATGGCTTCCCTTGAGCCAGGAAGGTGCACTAAGATTGTCAGGTAATGAGCTCATGTCTTTAGTATTTAGTATTACCATAATTATTATTTAGTTTCAATGTACGGAAAATTTGTTTCATTAAACGTCATTGTTTGATCAAAGAAATAATTTGCAATCATTAGATGTAGTAGAAGTAGTAGTAGTAGTAGTAGTAGTAGTAGTAGTAGAAGGAAGAATATAAAGTTTTAGCAACTAAAAAGTGTTTACTTTCTCTCTCTCTCAGCAATCGGTCATTCAGGTAGCCGCTAAATAAGTTACTTTTATTTTCACATTATATGAGACATTGTTTTAACTATTTTATTTACAGTGCTACCATCACAGTGATGCAATCGTACCAGACTCAGAAAAGAATATCAACCAAGACAAGATGTGGATGGCTTCATCTAGCATACTGCAGAAAATACAGGTAAATGAAAGGTCAATAATCGGGTCACTCCCAATTGTGGAGTTAAAGGGCTCTCGAGAGGAGGAGCCCACTCCCCCATCGGATGACAAGAAAGGGAGAAGGGAGAGAGAGAAAGAAATGGGGATGGGGTAGATAACGAGGACAGAAGATGATGGATGACCCGTATTCTCTTATTACATCCATATTATATTGCCCCCTCCCATAACACCAGAACCCCGTCAAGGTTGGACTTATGCTGTGCCACTATAGTTTAAACTATTCTTGGGGAGGTAAAGTTAATTATAAATAATTATTACATAAGTACATTTCTCTCTCTGCTCATCATTCATCACATGATTTGCACTATCATTACTCTCCAGCCAAGCCAATACCCTTTCCTGATTCTTACAGTTTCATATTAATCAATCATGTGATGATATTGTTATCTCCCGACATTTAGGATGACTCCTCACGTGGCGTACAGGCAGGCGACAAAAATTGTTTACGTCAATGCTCGTAAATGTTGTGTCGGCTTCATGGAGGTGAACGGTGTTTGTGAACCCCAAGGTGAGATAAATGATCTAATCACTATTATTTCATTATTGCTCATATCTTAATTATAATTGAGTATAACCCACGTGCATCATAACAACACGTAAATTGAGCTTAATCGTTGATAAATGACAGCTTTTTATCCTCGAACCAGCGGAAAGATGTGGTTTACGAGTTATTCCAAAGTGCACAAATTTCATTTTGATGTCATTTGAAAGATTTTAATCTACATATTCCACTCTCAACAAAGGTGTAGTTAATGGAAACATGGTGAAAGGAATTCTTGGACGAATTTAAGTTTTCAGGGCAACTTGAGAAAATTAGCTATTTATTACCTGTGTAATAACATAGATAATAGGACAGTGTATTTATCCCTTCTCATGGATTGCGCATTATTTATGATCCTTCATATTATAATTGTTGTGATTTCTATATCTACAAACTACAAGCTTTGTCTATTTCATTTCACGTAAGATAGTTAGGCTATACATTATACTCTAAGTTCATTTTGTGTCATTTGGAAAATAGGAGGACGGACCTTACCCCCACCGACCACCACTATCACCGCCCCACCAGCCCCCACCACGCCCAGAGACGACAGGATGCCCGATGACGAGATGAAGATGATTGATAACTCCCTGCAGAAGTTCGTCTTCTTCATCATCGTCCTCGTCGCTATCCTCATCATCGGTATCATCATCGGAGCCGTGATCGTGCACCTGTGCGGAGGACGAAAGGAGGTCATGAGGAGGTATATTAAGCGTGACCATATCTGTTTACAAGTTAGAGAACAATTTTCGAAAATCGTATTCACTGCCTTTTCAATATATTATACAATTCTAAGAATTGCCAAAGTACAACAAAATACAAAAAAGCAATCTTGACAAAAGGCCTTCCGATTCTTATAAAATATATAATTTATAAAATCTATCAATAAATATTTACCATTATGAATGGATGAATGGATGTACAAATTTGCATTTTCCGATGTATTCATTTTCTTAAAAAATAAAGAAATGGCAACAACAACAAGCCTGTGAAAAACATATTATGGTAAATAAAGAAGAATCACATTTTAGTAGCTGGCATTGTAAACATGTTTTTCCGAGTTGTCGTTACGTGTGTACATTCAAAAGGTCATACAAGCATTATTCGTATTTCCATCTACAGAATATCAACGAGGAGATTCACCAGAAAGACGAAGAAGGAGACATTCAAAGATGGAAACGGTAAGATGATTATCATTACCACTATTGCTGAGAAAGTGTGCAACATGAAACGCATGTAACATTTCCTCAATAACATAACAGAAGAAATTATACAAGTTTCCATTTGCTGCAATTTAAATTTAGCTCACAAATATTCATTCGTGTAGGTGAATCAAAAGTTAAAACTAATTTTATTAAACTTTAATGATATTAGGGTTATATAAAATAATCATAAGCGACTTAATAACAATATTTATACTAGTGCATATTAATCTCCTAATATGCCTCTTTTCTTCGACTCGTATTTCAGGTAAAACAAGCACCGAGACATCAAAGAATGACCTACCGCCTCGCTACGAGAGCTGTAACAAACCAACCACATCAGATTCTAAGGTCGGAGTAGCCTACCATCCCAATGGTCATGACCACGCCCATGGCCACGCCCACGTTCACACCCATGGCCACAACCATGGCCATGCCAAAGACCACGCCCATGGTCACAACCATGGTCATACCCACGACCACGTCTATGGCCACGCCCATAATGCATCCCAACCCACCGCACCACCATACGGTCTGGAGTATGCTAACGTCGATTCGGACATCGGCCAAGCAAAGAGCTGTGAAAGCCAAGCCGGGTACGTGGAGGTGTATGAGTCTGATCCTCTACCTACCAAGACTGGGCATCACTGAGGACTTTTACCTGTGTAGATAGAGACTTATTAGAAGGCATTTCCTTTTCCATTGTCAACGGCCATTGTAGGATTCAGCGACTTAGCATGGAGATCGAAGTAACTAGTAGCAGATGGACGAACAGTCATGTCTAATCGCATACAATCATATGAACATGTATAAATTTCATTCTAACTAAGAATGTAATATTGATGTAAAGGCTTTAATTAAATGTACTTTTCTATTGGACTTATATGCTGTATTATCTCTGGTGATTCTGAATAAAATATAAGATTATATTTCAAATCTTTTTTAACCGTTAACTCATTGCTGCATCATCCCTTTCTTTTATTAGAATATGACGACATACATTGAAACTGATATTTGCTTTTATTAATAAATTGATTTTCAGACTTAGAAATAGAAGGTGTTTTTGATTATTGATTAATACATTGATTGATGGGTTGATTGATTAATTGATTGATTGGTTGATTGGTAGATTATTCGATTGAGTGAATGAGAGATTGAGTGAAAGAGTGAGCGAGGGAGAGGGTGGTTGAATAATTGATTAATTTACAGATCAAGTGGGTGAGTTGATGATCAATAATTGATAAGCGCGTTGAATGAACGGATGAAATAAATAACGCACAGAGAAGTAATTGCTCGATTGGTTGGTTGAATGGTTAAAACTTATCTGGTAACTATTATATTGGTCGATTTTATGGATTGATTCATCAATGGCTTGATGGATAGATGATAAATTCAATGAGAGGTTGGTAATTAATTGACTGATTACTTGATTGAGTGAATTAACTAATTGATTGATTGATTGATTGATTTGTGGACTGATCGATTGAAATATTGATTATTACAGAGTATGGTAATATCACATAATTTGATTGTTGCTCCATTATCCCAGTTTCGATGTGCTCAAGAGAAGATAACTATTCTTAAACAATTTCCTCGAAGCAGTGCTCTTGATCTTCATCTGTTGACATATTTTTTAGAAGAAACTAAGGCCTCTTACCCCGATACCAACCTTTCTGTCTCAAAACATTCATGTTAAGCATATTAATGGCTCACTTGGGAAATGGGAAAGTAAAAAGAAATTGTCAATTTTGTTTTATTCCAAATATTGATTTCATCACCAAAATAACTAGATAAGATACAAAAAATGAGGATATTCGGGTATCTCCTGTCCCAAATCACCCATAATATTGCTTGCCCACCTCGCTCGCTTCTATAAAGAAAAGATAAAAGACACTTAAAGGGGAAGGCCAATCTGATATTGAGTCGGTTTTAATAGAACCAGTAAATGAGCAAAACAGTTCAGTAAAAGTTTTAGCAACAAACAAAAAAAACGATTAAAAACAATAAAGTTATGAATTTTTGAAGGTGCGATCAAACAGACACAAAGTGGAAACTTTGTGACGTATCTTGCGAGCTCCTCTTCCATTTGCCCTGAACTAAACATCTTCAAAAATATATATTTTCCCTTAAGAAGATTTCAACTATACATTCCCTCTCTACGAAAAAAATCTGTTCCGTCATCAATAACTAAGAAAATGAAAGTTTATGAAATTTTCAGTACAGAGCTAATTGGAGAGGTGCTCGCAAGATACGTCACGGAGTTGCCAATTTTTGTTTGATTTATGGCAACTTCACAAATTCATTACTTTCTTACTTTCATCGGAATTTGCTCAAACTTTCACTGATTTGTTTCTCTCATGTTCTGCTTCTCTTAAAACCAATCAATATCAGATTGGACTTTCCCTTTAAGTATAAGACGTCATTTCATCATCAAGTACACTAGATAAGATATGAAAATCATAATATTCAGTTACAATGCTACCCAAATATGAGATTATGCTTGCCCGAATATCGAAACTTTAAAAATACAACCCCCCCCCCCCCCTTTCCGCCTCGTACACTTATGTTTGTCGGTCTGAAAATATGAACCATACTTCGGAACACGGAAAGTTTTCTTATTATCTCTCTCTTCATTATGTTTCATATTGAAAGTGAATTAATTAGTTAAATTTTTCCCCTAATTTCAGATAATTTGATCTCGAGAAATGTCAACTGTAAACTTTATATAGATTATTATTTGTATTCATATCTTCCCTATACATTGTTTGTGGTCTTCACTTCTCAGTGAAATCCAGTACTTTATGTGCAAATTATGGAATAAAAAACACATTGTTTTAATGAGAGCTTCTTGCCATACATGATTTTCCATATTTTTAAACATAGAGTATTTCAAATTTTAATATTGGATCGTCAATTTCTTGCAGATCATAATGAAAACATGAAGAGCGTATGAACGATAGCCTAATGTTTGTTCAGGGTTTGATGGAGGAAGTGTTACCCATACAGGCTAAGGATGTCCGTTCGAGTTTTAAGCACGGAATTGATCCTTGTAACCAATCCTTCAAAAACAATATCTACACGATGAATCGACGTCTTTTTGCATATCTGGTCAATAATATTGAAGACATAATCCAGGTCAACTTGAAACTCCGGATCTGTACTTCTTCCCCAAATAAGATGTTGCTACGACGCACTTTAAAAAAGTTCATAAACTCTTGTTCTTGGAGCAGTTAACATCGAAGTACGTCGGTAGAGGAAATGATAATTACTTGTCCCTCATTTTAGAATGGAATGATACGTAATTGCAACAGTGAGCAGGAACCTTAAATTAGACCCCTTTTGTCTGATTTCAGAAGTGTTAAAATGTCCGAACATACAATACAATACCTGTATATTTTACAAGCAGGATACTAAAAAATGTCTCTCTTGATCATATTACTTCGCTTCGAACAATGGTAAAAAATAAAGGACATGCAGATGGAATCAAATCGAGGGTACTATTATTACATACTCTAGGAAAAGTCTTCCATCTTACGTGGAAAATGGATATGTATGTCACTCTCTGGTCAAATACATTGCTGGTGATCGTTTCGGCTGCCCCCCCCCCCCCCACCCGACAAGGTATTACGCCATAATTTTTTACCCAGATCTGCATGCCCTCATTTTATCATGTTTACTCGTAAACATCTAATAATGATAATGATGATGATGATTATAATAATAATGAAAGTAGTAATAATTATACATGATTACGATTACATGGTACGGCTTTGAAAGGGGAATTCAACCTTGTTTCAAATTGATTCATATTTCTAATTGCAAGGAGTTATGGGAAATAGTCATTACAGTGAGATGACAATAACAAATCCATTGGTGGGATTTCGATCCGGATGTAAATCATGAATCATTATTCATATTGTGGTAACATATCATAACAGCTCGTTGTTCACACATTCCCCATATGACTCATGACAATACAAATATACATTTTCTAATACACAGTCCAACCCTGTATAATCTATATACAATTATAATGCTTTATAACAAAGAATACCTCGTTCTGAGTATGTAGATAGGGAGGTTTTTTCACGAGCCTCACCTCCAAAGCCACCAGGAAATAAAGCCCCCAAGAAAATATTTTAAAAATCCCCCCCCCCAAAAAAAAAAATAATAATAAGAAGAAGAAGAATAAGAATAATACTATTAATGATAATAATAATAATAATACAAATAATAAAAATGAACATATATGAGTTTTGTAAAGCGCTGAATGGACTTGAAGCATAATGCTCAAGGAGCACTTAAGAAGAAAAAAAGAGATCACATAAAAGCATTTACATTATAAACAAAGACACATGAGTAAGATAAAACAGTAATGACAAAACAACAATATGCCGAATGAAACAGATACGTTTTGATATTATTTTTAAACGCTGCAACTGATCTGAATAAAAAAATCTATTCAAACTTCAAATGCTTTTTAGACAATGATATAAGAAAATGATCCTCATAATATAGCTAGCAAGTGTAACAAACATTCAAAGTATTAAAATCCTATTCAAAGTAACCATTTTCGATAGTGGGTGATATTTTATTTCAAATCGGCCACGTTATAGTAAATTGAAAAATTTCACGTTATAGGGATTCCCAAAAAGTCTCCTTTCCTAAGCCCTTCCTCAGCTCCCCGTGCAAAATGTGCCTCCTCAAACTTACGGATAGTCAAAATATTATTTTTGTTATAATTGCTCATTACAACGTCCCTTTGCACAGTATTGTGAGCGTTTTATAAATTATTACCATGCATTAGTATACAAATAATACACACCAGTGAGGGCATTAGTAAGAATTACCCACACAAGGTACCTTTGGAAAAGTCTAACACGCCCGAGGCGATAGCCGAGGGCGTGTTAGACTTTTTCAAAGGTACCGAGTGTACCGAGTGTGGGAAATTGTACTAATTAATGCCCGAACAAAATGATGTGTATTATTTGTTTTATAAAATTATAACGTGGATCCTTGTTATTTGATCAATCGCCCTCATCTCAAACCAAAGGCCCGAATTCACAAAGGAGGTTTAAATCTAGCCCATGGTTTAAATTCTCATTTACATAACCCATGGTTTAAAATAAGCGCTAATTGAGGCATACCATGCCTTGCGCGCGTCTAATATTAGACCTCTGACTTAATTTTAGCTAGATGTGGTAATGACCGGTCATTACCACTGGGTAATGACCGGTCATTACCCAAATTACGCGTTAGGCAAAATAAATGCCTGGTCACGTGTACGCTTTCAACCAATCATTTGATTAGGATCTACGTCATCATCTTATAACACGGAATAGCTTCGATAGCCGTTGTCGAAACTTAGCATGCGCAGTGCATGTCGTGAATGAATCCGGCCAGGTACACGTTAAACACCCGGGTCGAGAGAGACAGCTACGGACAAAATGCTTCGTGTAAAAAAAATGCAGTGCACAGAGATTGAACCGTAGACCTTTTGATTGAGAGCCATATAAATGTATTGGTTATATCGCAGTTATTCCACAATAATTCTTTCCCACCGGAGAGGACTCTTTCAAAACATGCACTTTTCATATATTATTATGATGCTTTCGTGAAGTGAGGAGAGAAAAAAATAATGAAGGGGGGGGGGGCGTATGAACACTCGGAGAATGAATAATGAAAAATGGCATAGATTTGTATGTTATGCGGGGAAATACCAATGTTCCCCTTCATCATGATTACGAATACCTGTACCATCATTTCTCTGTGATTTGGAGATGACTTGCAGCACAGAGCTTTTGAGATGAATACACTATGTCAACAAAAGTATAAAAATATATCAAAAGTTCACTCAAACTCCAGACAATAATGATTGGTTGTCCCGGTGACAAAGTTATCCCACCCAACCAAAACAATAATGAGTCTACATATTCAATATGAATCGATTGTTTTGTGTTATTGTATACTAAATAGTTATAATAAGACTATAAAACTAGGTTTATCATCATAACAGTTTGAGTGGGTGGAAGTTCCGATTTTGGAATTTGGAAGCGATGTCACGTCCGGTTTTGGCAGACCACTTTCACTCGCGTCTGATACTAGGGCCCAACGCCAGCCAGAAAAGAGATAAAATAGAGTGTATCTGGTGGTGGTGGTATTATGAGCTGGAGAGAAAGGGAACATAAACTAGTAGTCTCTAAAGCTGCAGGGTATTCTTAGGGCAGATCTTTCCTCAACCTTACGCTAACTTTGGCATCAGCATCTACCTGTTTCGTAACAACTCAGAGGTGTCTTCTTTGATAGTTTTCACGTCTAATTCTAATAGTACAGGTAAGCAAGGAGGCATAATGCTGAAATTTGATTGATAGATTGATTGAACATAATCTTTCTTTTTTTTATAATAAAATCTGTTAACGTTATCATAAACAATTGTTGCGAAGTTAAAACATAGATGTAAATACTACATTTAGTAGGCAACAGCTATACGCAGATCTATATGAACGAACATTAATATCAAGCGAATCGCATGCAAGTTTAGTTTGGGTATTTTAAATACACAATTAGTTACCTAATGCCAGGAGATTAATGTATATTAGCATTAACATGTCGTTTCATTCTGTCTTATATCTATCATTTCATTCTTTTTTTTTCTATAAAATAATGTATTCCTTGTTTATGCTAACAAAAAGTATTCATAAAAAAAAGTATTGCACCAATTATATCATAGTGGTCATCGATTTTAAGCTCCAGTGAGATACGTATTGATAAAAGGAAGGTTTATATTATCCAGTGAGTTGAATTCTACAATTTAAAAAAAAAATTATTGTTTACTTATTTAGAACACCTTGAGTAACAAGATGAAGCCTTCATCGGTCTTTTTGCTCGTCCTCGCTCTCGTCCTCCTCGTCGCCTACGCCGATGCTTCGGGGAAGAAAGGGAAACATGGCAAACCCGCAGGTAGAGGGGGACCAGGAGGAAGATCACGAGATCACCACGATCACCACCACGATCACCACCACGGACATGATCACCACCACGACCACGGACATGATCACCATCAGAACGATCACGGTCATGGGCATGATAACCCCCATAGCACAGGGTCCCAAGGACATCAAAGTGAGCACGGTCAGTACGATCGTCATCGTCGTGACGTCATCAACGGGTCGGAGCAAAATGATACAATGACAACCCTAGAACCAGGAAGATGTACTAAACTTGTCAGGTAAATTGTGATCGAGTGTTCTATTTAAAACATTATTATTGTTTGTGTTCATAGTATGATCATATTGAATTTAATTTGATTCAATTCTCTTTTCCAACCGTGATGAAATGGAATCCAATCATGTGAATGAATTGAAAAGTAAGACGTAATATATTTTTACATGGCTCATTTTTATGGTGTAGAGTTTTCAATGTAGAATTTGCAGAGTCAGCCTATAACCAGGCATATGTGAGTTTTTGTTAACTCACATATCCCTGCTATAACATAATATACGATATACACTGTACTATATACTAGTTTCCACATCCATTACATTATTAAAGTGGCTTGTTGAATTACTTCTCAATATGCAACCTTCCATATTCTCTACAGTGTTACAGTCACATTCGCCCAGTCTTTTCAGAAGTCAAGAAAAGTGCCGAAAATCATCAAATGTGGATGGCTTCATCTTGCAAAGTGCAGAGTCTACAGGTAAGCATTGCTATACAGAAAAAATGATAGTCTCATTCTCTTTTTGATAAATATTTTATGTTAACACAGGCATACCTATTTCACATGTTTAATTCAATTTTATTGTAATACTGGACAGAATAAATTCGGAATAATCTAATTATAATTATATCAAATAAGTTGCAAATATATTAGAGCATTTGAAAAGTGGGGAAGCATTATGTTTATATAATGTATGATTGCAATTAAAAGGGACTCTAACATTGCTGACACAAATGAATCATTGCTAGAATTACAAACTTGTGGTGTCATGACATTGCTGAAGAAGGTCACACATTTGTCAGACATTTTGTATCTGATGGGAAACAAATAAAAACGCAATTGGAGCTAGAAAGACAATAATGACATATTAACATTCAGAAGAGCTGTGTCATAAAACATGCTCTACTCTGTCAAAACCTCTTGACTATAAACACAGGTGTGCAGATTTCTTTAATTATCAAATCACATCAGCGCCATCTCTTGTACGAGAACAGGCATGAAAGGTTTACGATAATTTGTTTCTTACATGATTACAATAAACTAATTTAGTCCATACTATATCAAGTATGCTAACAAACAAGCAATACTCATTCGAAATTCGTTACTTTGTAAAGAATGGCTTGTTTAAATGACATTTGGCGTCAGTATGACTTTGCAGGCAATTATGATTAGCCTTGTTTGCCTAGGTAGCATAACAACGTTCGTAATAGCTTTTCTCGATAATCTCAACTAAACTAAGCAGTATATACAATATATTTAATACAAAGTCCTCAATTGTGATTTTTTTTTTTTTACTTCTTTTTAACCATGTTAACTTAAATCTTGATGTGTCTCTATATATTCCAGACTAGAATATGAGACTGCATACCGTCAGGCCACTCGAGTCCAGTATGCCATCGTGAGGAAATGTTGCCCAGGCTTCATGGAGATCAATGGTGTTTGTGAACCAATAGGTTAGTATTTAGTCCAGTATAATGACATTTTTTAGAAATCGATTTATCATTATTTTTTTTTAATTCACTTTGATTTCATCTTAAACTCAGTAAAGAAATATTATGAAAACATTTCCAAGACGAAGGTAACTAGGTGTCTGACCACCTTTAAGTCATTTTTTGATCGATTGATTTATTCATTCACCAACAACCGAAACAATATGAAATTTTGTTCACAAAATGTCTTCACAGTAGTAAAGAAATATTACTCAATCAAAATGTATGCTTAAGGATAAATGGGACAAGAAAATAGCACATGTGTTAGTCGAGATTAATTGAAACATATCTTCACAGCCGGATGGCTGAATAGTTCTAGTTTTGCATATCAAAAGTAGAGTAACAATATACAAAAGTACAATTTCATTTATAATGTTTTTTTCCCAATCAAGATAATCTTTTACTAATGAGCAGAAACCACCCGGAGTTTAGCATATATTTGCCCAACTGTTAGTTGGACGCATAATTACCCTCATCACGCCCATGTCAGGCGGTTTTTCTTTAGACCTCATATTTTTTACTGTGAAACAATTCTAGACTTCATGACGTAAAATATACAAATGTAGGTATTTGTCTTGATATAGGCCTTTAATCTAAAGCATGCCCTCAGAACACTTTAACATGGTCGAAAAGAACTTCACGAATTCTGTGCCATAAGGTATTGAAATTACCCTTAAGTTGACGTCTTGGATCATTATGCTTGTACCTCTGATGATAAGACGTATTACTAAGAAGTATCTTACTATCATTAAAAACAAACTCAGGTGGAAGAACAACCCCTCCGCCCACGACGCCGCCCACAACTCCCGCTCTAACCACAACGATGATGATGACGACCACCGATGTACCAGACGACTACTGGATGATGATTGATAACAAGATTCAGAAGATCGTCTCCGCCGTCATCATCATAATCCTCATCCTCTTCACTGGGTGTTGTATCGGGGGCTGTCTGCTCTACATCTGCAAATGTTGCAAAAAGTAAGGAAACATCCAATCAGTTGAAACCTCCATTTGTAAAACTTAATTAATACTTTATGATAATTTACTGGCCAAATTTACAAAATAGTATTGCATACATTTATAGGCAATTATAGATACATGTAAAATCTTCTTGCGCAGTATGTACATAGAGCGTTTGATTGAATAAGACATTTCAATTTCTATGAAGTAACACATAGAATGAAAATAAAATATCAGTTAGGCTTGCAAATGTTTTAAATTTTGACTGGATATAAAGATCTTGAACATTTCGCTTTTCAAAAGTGCGTTTGCTTCGCTCTCGTCGAATGATGGCGTAGTTTGTGGTTTGGGACAAGAATATTGTAAATCCCGTGAATAATAAAGGATAATGGATAATGAATATAATCTCCTTGGCACAAGCTTTCTTTTATTATTTTTTTATGTAAGAAATACGTTTTGAGTAATTTCCTGTCATGAGATATCCCATTTTCAATTTTCGTGACAAGCAAGTATTGTGTTTGTTAATGCATTATTGCTTTATCATAGTATCGTTTTCATAAAATGTGATCTAGTTGCAAACAACCCTGATTAATTCCTTTATTATTAATAAACGAATTGTATATATTTCATAACTTTATTGTGCAACATAATTATAACAGACGATCAGGAAGAACGTTAGGAACAACAACAAAAATAGATCTGCACCATAAAAACCACACACCGAATGAATGCTCATCGAAGATACCCGATATTATTTGGTCTCAAGCGGAAATCCATTCCAAAAATCTCATTGCCGCATTATCTGTTCCAGGAGTTGGATACAAAAATGAAGAAAACAAATGTTAATGACTTTGAATATTCTTCATCTTTTCTGTTCAACAGAGGCAGCTACGTGTAGTCTCCAGTTCAGCCTCCATTCATTGCTCCAAGCCTTCATGATATTTGGACATCAGTCTCATGTACCGATAACTTCGTTGAGCGTTCTCTGCTGACTTTATGTTCTTTAAACTTTTTGTTTGAATGAAATGAAGAACGAGCCTTTCCTGTTAAACAAATATTTCTTTGAAGTCGGAGACTTTAATAACGTTTGATATCTGGAATGTAATTATAAGTATACAAATATATTTTCGTTTGGTACAATTCTTAGTATGAAATATCTTTAGTTTCGTAAAGATTTGACAATAACATCTTTAGGAAACCAAACATATTTCATAATTTTCACGTGGTAAATTTCAAATAGATTGTGGATTGCAAGTTTGAAATGTTATAAGAGTATTTTTTTTTTAATACCGCAAAACGATAGTCCGATCTTGATACTATGAAGTAACTGTTTCATGAAGTTGATGTTATCATTTCATATCATCTTTAAAAGGAATTATTTGCCCTTTCATTCTGATAAATTGGTAATATTAAACGTTATCTCTCTTTATAGATATATATATACACTGTATCTATCAGTCTATCTGTCTGTCTGTCCATCTATCTGTATGTCTATCTGTCTGTCTGTCTGTCTTTCTGTGTTTGAAATCCTTTACTCTTTCATTCATTCTCCTTGTGTCCGAATACGATCTTTTTCCATTATCCACCGAGTACTATATCTTTGTGTTTAACTTGCATAATAATTGGTGAAATCGCAGTCAGGCCGGTCTTCGATTGCAATGTATATAATGTAGATACATTCTTTATATTGATATTTTTTTCTAATAAGCAATTTCAAAGATTATATGTACATGCACTTTAAGTTGTATGGAATAATGACACTAATCCTCAAAAAAGATAATATAATGCAAATTTCAAAGAGACTACATCGTCATGAAACCTATGTTAAAATTAATTTCTTTGTGGATCCTGCCTTGTCTTATTTTCGATCGAGTAATAATTAGAGTCGAAGAGAGTATATGATCATATGTTTTGTTCAACGCAAATGTTAACATTGAAATAAAATTATTCAATAAAGTGTACATATTTGTGACTAAGACCTACAGCCTGTGTTGTTTAATTATTGATGTGTACAACATGAAAGCAGTGAGTTATTCGTGATATTTGAACAGTATATGAACCTCTTGAAGAGTAACCTTGCACCGATGAGGAGAGATCCATACATCCATGGTTTCCATCTTAAAAATAAACCTTTTGACTGTGAACGCGGAAGGATACCAGGGTGAGCAAACGAACATGAACCTCACATCACATTGAGAGACAGGAAGATCACTCCCAGAACACACGGCTCAAAACCCGTCCGCCGAGTGCAAGAAGGGCGTTAACTCTGTGTAAAAGTATTGGAGTTATCGGCCTTCTGGCTCTCAGCACATATTATGACTAAACATGTAAACGTTCAAACATCGTCCTCGCCAAGGCCTCCTTGCTATTTCTAAACATTAAAGTAAATCTACAGATTTAAAGAGTTGAGTAATGTCTAGACAGCACATCATTAATAATTATAAAAAGTATCATATTTCATGTAGTTTTCTCGGAGTGTAAAGAAACATTCATATATCAATATGTTCAAATTGAGCATTGGTTGTCAGTTGAAACGAATTCGGCAGAGACATCGCTAAAAAACGAGTTGTTTCATTGGGGTCGCATCAAATCGGGTAAGAGTATATCTGTAAAGCACTTAGAGACATCGTACATGAAGGTGTATTAAGCGCTATATAAAAGCGGAATATTATTATCATTATCTGCTGGAGAACTTTCTAAGGAATAATTGGGTAAAGAAGGGGTAAAATCAAGTCTGTTTTGCCAACAACGGCCTACAGTAAAGCACACAAGGTCCCCCAAATTACATATGCTAATAACAGAAACGAATTTGCCGACAGATATTTCAAATGGTAAATTCTAGTGATGCCCCTGAATCACGTTGACGATACAATGTAACAAAATGAACAGCCATTAATTATTATTATCAACGAGTATTTATTAGGTGAAATAAGGTAGATTAAGTCGTTAACAACTCATGAACAATGTATTATTCCCTTGGTATAAAAAAAAAATACATCTGATGTCGATTACTGAGAGCAAGAAAGGCATTAACTCTACCATTGAACGTTAAAAGGGTTTACATGAATGCCCTTCTGGTCCTTAGCAGACGATATCTGAGCTACTCTCTTTATCATGTTTATGGTAACGGATGGGGATCTTTGTTCTCAAAATCACATCGATGATTATGCTGTTAAGGGATCAAAGCTGGATATACCGGCTTCTCGACAGCTGGTAAGGGATTCATAATGAGGTGAACTTGGAAGGGAAACTGTTTAATGACTGATCACGCTAATAAAGGTCAACACGAGAATCATGATACTGCAGTAGTAGGCCTATGACCTATATGAAGCGCAAACTTCTCATTCCTATGTAATGTGTTGGGAAATGGTATAGGGCAATATTAGCTGGTTTGAAGATTACAACAAAGTCAACATTTGAAGCTAGTCACCCAAGCCAGTCAATAAGAGTCAGTAGCGAATCTAGGGAGGGGAGGAATAACCCGTATACCCTATCCCCTCTTTTAAACCTAAATGACATACCTCAAAGTACCCAATACAATTGCCCCCTTGATTGTTGTGTAAATTTCGAAAAATTGCCTCCCCCCCCCCATACAAAACCCTAGATCCGCCCCTGATGAGAGTGACATATGCTCTGAGCTTGTTCAGACTCATTTACCATTTGACAACATAATTCATAGATCTCGGATGATGGAAGGATCCTCAATGACTTAACTCCTGAGTAAAGGTTAATTCGAATTATTCACTTTGAAGCCACCTATATAGCATCAAAATGAAATTTGTGATAAGTTGATATTCTGTTTGACGTTTTATGCTACTTAACAACTCACATATTTTGACGTTGTTGAACTTGAAGAGAAAAAGGAACCAGGATATTCTAGTGCCTTGCAAACTTTCTAGCTAAAGGTCCATATGCCGTGGCTTCTTTCTTTCGTTTTTTCTTCTTTTCTTTAATTCAACATTAAGTTTTCTTGCACAACTTTTTCAAAAAATAACCTTGCTGGCAACGTTTGGCACTGTTTACGCACAGTTTTCAAACACAGACTGATTTGAATCAATAGAGCATTGAGTCATCACCGGGGCAGTCGGCAAAGTAGTCATTTGCTACCCGGTATCATTCTGATTCGGGATCTGCGCCATTACATTCAACAACAGCTTCAGATTCGAACAATTTACTCTGCAAACTTTGCTCGCATTGCACTCGTGGGACTATGCTGAAGAGGAAATCGTTCAACATTGAATGATTTCTTGAGTTCGTCTCGCTTCTCAGAAAGGACTGCACTACCTCGTATATTCAACAGCAAATCGACCTGTTACATGAAGTACCTCCATGTATCGCAGCACTAACTTGTTTGTGTCGGATGTCAAGCTTCTTCCCTAATACCTAACGGCGTTCTTAACAAGTTTGTTGGCAAGCTTGGCAGGCGTCATCCACACATGATCGAAGGCAAACTTCGCAAACAATCGCATTCCGGTACTGAGTTAGCGACCTGCCATGCAGACGAGACTGTGTGAATGAGAGGAAAGGCAATCATCACCAGACACCTCAACTGCCAATAAAAGTCAAGTCGTCGTGCGATAAATGAAAGGAAGAAATACATTATTAATGCATCTTTGAACAACGAGATACACATGTGAAGAACTATTGAAGAAGGCGAAATTGGATTTTTACTTACGCTGGCGCCCAGAAACTGTCGGCAAAAAGAGTAAGTTACCAAGGGTCCAAGGCTCTACTTCTGAGCTCCAATTGACCTTCTCACACCTTGCATGTTCAAGGTCACTCCATTTTCTCAAGGAGAACTTTCCATGATTTTTTCTCCTTTTTTTCTGCATGAGTCGGACGTTTGTTTGTTTGATATTTCTTTGTCCAACTTTTGGTTACTTCCTGTCATCACATTTCAAGGTGTTATTAATATAAATAAATTATTGGAATGCTTATTTCAAATTGCTCTCTTATATTCTGGATATTATATATTACGTTTTATTTTTCTTCCTCATCTTGCATTGTCTTCCATTGAAATTGATACCCTTGTTGTACGACTCCTTAATGTACATTTTAATTATTTGTTTATTGTCCTGTATTTATTCTGTCATCCCCTTCCACTGTTTTCTTATCGTGATCATTACACTTCGTCTACTGCAACGAATGTTCTCGGTAGGTCTCCCATATAGCCATTTAATATATTCTTGACTTGCTTCAATACCTGTGAGGAAAACATCGGCGCCATCCTGTGTGATAAGGAATCTTCTCACTGTTACTCATACTCTAAATAACAACCCAGGATAAACACTTATGTCTTACGATTACCTCTTAAAGTGATATTCGTGACATTTAAGAAGTATCAAATCTTCTTCTGTGATATGAAGCGCTTCCCGACCATAAATCCATTAACTCCTCTGAAAATCCACAGGACTTAACAAGTGGAAGTAACAATTTGATCGTGTACGTGCCAATTAAAGTTGGTGTTTTCTTTTGTCAGGCATCAGATGAAAACGTTGAATAGAGGGAACATATTCAGGAAGGAGGATATACATTATATTGGCACCATTCATGAGATCGATTGACAATATTTCTCGGGGCTCATTAGACCGACATTGCCGGTCTCGTGTGCTATCTATTTATGGGCTGTCGGTCTCGAGAGAGTTTTTTCAGGTGGAAATTGAGTTAAAGTTTCGTATGCAATATAATTGGAAAATATCCAATATTCTATAATCATTGAAATCATTTTTAAAATTGGTTATAAGCTAATAACAGTAAAGTTTCTTAGACTCACATGTTATTGTTAGGTATATAGCTGAACCAAGAAAATTTCTCTCTAATGATCTTCTTTTTAGTAATGCATTTTATACAGCATTATACAGAAAAGAATGTGTCCATTCTGGAACACGCAGCCGACCGAAGTCAAGAGTAAT